AGGAATATCTTTAAAACATCTCATTTATATCTTTCAAGATGAAAAATGTCGTCTTATGAGCAATCTATCTTTATCTATGGTTGTAGACCTTAGATATTTCAAACTATGAATTCTGTTAGATCAAATATTCTGAATTTGAAATATCAAAGGTTTACAACATCAGATTCCAAAGGTTTACATATTTGAGTTTGTGCCAAAGACTCAATTCCTTTATAAATTGACTGTAAGAAAAAATAGAAAAATAGAAAATAGAATACCTTTATTACATCTTCCATCATGTTATAAGCATCTATTATGTCGATGTCTTGCTTTTGCAAAAGTTTTAGTTAAAAGTATCTTAAAAGTTTGTTTTAACAGTGAATTTAGACAAATCCTAAGTCTTTGTCATTGTCAGGTTTTACTTTTTAAATTTGTTTCCTTTTAATTTTGTATTTTCCAGGGGGGGGGCAAGAGGACTACTGCCCCCCCCCCTATGTACGCCACTGACTGCAATATGGTTTTGGTGAATTATAATGACGCACTAAGCCTATTTTCTCAAACGTCCTATAAACCTAATGATGTTTAAATATTTGTATAAAACATTTGTTCTGGATGATTGCAAATTTCTTTCTAAAACATTCTTGAACCGGTGGTGCGTTACTTTATGCAGTTGCCGCGGAAATTTGGTTGCGCAGAGACTATGTCAATGACCAAAAAGTAACGCGACACAAATAAGGAAAGATTCTGCATATAATATTTGCCAAACCAAAAAGGATTTTTAATGTGAATTAAACTACTTAGTATTTATATAGACTCACTTCTAGGTATCATTTTATTCTAGTTTTGCATTATTGCCATTCATGACCACACCAATCTGAAATCTCCAAATCTGCTTTTATGGAAAGTGCTTGTAACAGGGTACTCAAAGTACTGCTGGGTTCTGGGGGAAACAGGGGGGTACTGGGTGGTGCTAGGGATACTTGGGGTACTGTGGGGTACTGTTGGGTACTGCAGCATACTGGATACTGGATACAGGATACTTCAGGGTACAGGGAGGGGGGTACTTTGGGGTACACAACTACGGGGTACACAGTTACCCTGTACCCGGCAAATATTGCTGGATATTACATGGTACAGGGGGGTACTGCAAAGTACTGCTGGGTACTTTAGGTAACTATGGAGTACTGCAGGGTACTACGGGTAATAGAGGGTGAGTACTCCCCAAGTACCACCCAGTATTCAGGAATACCTATAACTACCCCCCAGTACCGATCAGTGCCCCAGTATCCCCTATTACTCCTTTGTACCCCCCAGTACCCCAGCCCAGCACCCCCAAAATGCAGAGTACTGGATGTACTGCAGGTTACAGGGGGGTAGTGCGGGGTACTGCAAGGTACTTCAAGGTACTGAAAGTTACAGCAAATTACTGCAATGTACTGAAGGGCACATTGGGGATGCTCAGTATGCTCTGGGGTACTGCAGGATACTGATTGGGTAGTTCCCCCAGTACTTACAGTACCCCACAGTACATTTTAGTGCCCTGCATTATGTTCCAGTACCCCCCGTACCCAACAGTTACCCCCAGTACCCTGCAGTACTCTGCAGTACCCCACAGTATTCTGGGGTACCTTGCAGCACCCCCTAGTACTCCACCATACCCCGCAGTACTACAGGGTACAGGGTTCCTGTAATTTGTAGTTATGTACCCTAAAGTACCCCTCATGACCCTACAATACCACCCAGTATCCCCCAGTACCAGCAGTACCCAGCAGTACCCAACAGTACCCCACAGTAATCCACAGCCCCACAGTATCCATAGTACCACCCTGTTTCGCCCAGAAGCAAGTGCAGTACTCTGAGTACCCTGTTACAAGAAATTTTCTATAAAGAAGATTTGGGGATTACAAATTGGCTTGGTTGCCATCCCTCATACCATTGAGTAATCAGCTGTTTAATGTTAAACCAGATTTTACATGAATGGCAGTAATGCATAACTAGAATAAAATTAAACCTAGAAGTACTTAATATAAATACTAAATACAAATTCTGTTTTGTTTGGCAAATATTATATGCAGAATCTTTCCAATTTTTTCGGGTAGTAGTTAATTAGGAATATTAAAAGATATAAAGCAATACTCGATATAAAGCAATAGTTATCAATACTTATTTCAACTTTAACTCTAATAGATGAATTTTGAAAAAAATATGCCGATTTAAGAAAGTTTTAGAAAGATATTTGCAATCATCCAGAAGAAAAAGTTGTATAAAACATTAAACTTTATTAGGCTTATTACGTCAATATAATTTACCTAAATTATACTGGGGTCCTTCCATTATCATACGGTTAAATTTTCAACTTTTTAAATATCCCAGACTAAGATTTTACATCTTCTTAAAAAACACTGTGCTAGATGTATAAAGAATAAAGAATGTTTATTTTTTTATCATCACATACTATACCTGCCAAGTGGGAGTATAGTACTTTAGATTATTACTGTAACATCTCAGTATAGTCCCAATACTAATAATAAAAGTAAAAAGCTAGATCGTTTTATTGCGAATTATGAGCTAAAAATGCGCATTCCATTGCAGTATAAAAATGCAACCATCGAGTCTAATAAAAAGATTCTAAAATTTTATAAGCGTCAAAGGCAATGTCATTTTTGATTTTATTCTTGCACACATCATGAGAAATAGCGAAAATAGAAATTCAATTTAAGGGGCTATGTAATTTTGCAAAAGGGGATACAATAAATAAAGAAGGGAGTATCACATTCCCAGGACCTTGTTGGGCCCTTTTATTTCTAGCGTAGCGGGTAAGGCTGTTAGGTAAGGTAAGGTAAGGTAAGGTCAGAGCTGGAAACTTTAGAATGGTGGATATCAGGATTAATGCTTGATCCACTCTTTTTCTTAATCTCCAGATTAAATATTGCTTGTTCTCCTCATGAATTTAATCTCCAGATTAATTAACAGATCGGGATTAAGAATATCACATTCTAAAGTTTAAAGCTGTTAAGGGTAAGGCTGAGGGTCTTTAACGAGAACGGTGATTTTTTCACAGAACAAACGGGAAATCCCATTAGCAATGCCATGGTTCCGAAAAATATTTGTTCTGTCTTTAAATGACGAATGTGCATCGGCCGGTAATATGTTCACCACCCCCTATCACTGACTTTTACTTCCCGGCATAGTTCCCCCTTTCACTCCTTCTAGCCCACCTTACACAGACAGAAAAAGAGGGTGAAACTTGAACATAACTGGTCCGACTTTGTGACTTCGTAAATCCTCTAGTTTTTGTTCTATGCATAAGTAATAGAAAGACCAATTTATCCAGTTACATTTTAGAAATTCAAAACATTTGTGTTCTCAACAACTCTTCAATAAGAGGAGTTATTACTGAAAACATAAAATTTCAATTTTACATGCAATTATTTTAGTTTGACGTGAGTTTTCATCATAAAAGATCATAGACCGTCATTAACGATTAATTACCCTTAACAATTAACCAAAGTTCACAAGCTAATTGTTAACATATTCGTGCTCGATTATTAACACAAAGAACGGAATGGGGAAAAGAATGCATGAGGAACGAATGATCCAGCTGAAGGCCATTGTTAACGAGCATGAAACACACTATTGATTAGGAACGATCCCAGCCCATGCTGCGGGACCCAATAAGAGCGAGAGGAGCCAATGCAATAAAATGTTCCACCTATATTTATTGTATACCCATTGTGTCATGTGAATGAAGAGTTATGCAGTTTTTTCAGTGAAATTAAATATAAAGACCATTGATATTTGTATTTTAATTATGAAATTAGCTGGTTACAAATCACATTTGCAATGCAAATATCAGGGATTCCAATTCAATAGTATAATTTTTTTGTTTAAAAGTTTGAAAAAATGTGTGCACAGCTATAGTACCTTGAAACCTCATAAAGTCCCACAGTAAGTCTAGGAAGGTTCAACACCAGGAAAACGAGAACAAGAATAGTGCAAACGCGGGCGAGATTAAAGTCCTTAGTTCTTCTAAATTAAAGGAACTGTTTTAAGTTTTTATAAGTTTAAGTGGCCCTAAATTTAAAGAGGGAGATGCCCTATTTACACTAGTTTCCATGAAACTGTAATCACCATAAAGAAAGAAATGCGCGAGTCACTTTTGAAGAGAAACGACAATGAAAATAAACATTTTTTAAGAACAAAAACATGGATATCTATTTAATATGTTCTTGTTCAGACAAAGCTTTTATGGGTACTTTTGTGATTCGGAAATGCCCCTCTATCGATGGAGGGTAACTTGAAATTTACGGCTAAAGTATCTTTAAGTTGTATTTTTAGTGATTTAAATTTTTAACTGTTACACTTATTCAAACATATACAGTTGTTCAAGATTTTCTAATACCTTCTTGAGCTTGAAGATACATGGCTAATCTTGGGGATTTTGTTATTAATCCTAAATAGAACCTAGTAAATTCATGCAATGGTTCATAGCCAACTAAATCCTTTTACTTGTATTCTAAAGTTATAATTTCAAGAGGTTAAAAAGTTATTGAATTCAAATCCATAATTTAAATTCAAAGGCTAGCTTTATGTTATCATATTATTAAGTTATGCCATTATAAGAAACATCATTAAACAAAATATAGTGAACGTTGTTAAATGTTACCTCCAATTAAGAATAGAAAGAAAGAGGAAGGGTATTAGGCCTGTTGTTGACAAGGGATGAACCGCCTAAATTTATGGATTAATTAATTCTTGCCTTTTCCTTACATTTGTGTGAGTTTTATTGTTGTATAGAAAGGAAAAAGTTGCTAGTGATAGTATGCATTGATAACTCATATGAGAACCTTTAAAAATTACAACATTTCTTGTTCTTTCTAACTGAGGTCAACTTTAGTTTGAGATAGTGCTTAGGAATTGAGTCTTTGCCACAAATTCCCATTTTGTAAACCCATTATTTTTAACTTGATAGTGGAAACCTTTGATATTTCAAACTTAGATTATATGATATACCATAATTCAAAGTTCTTCGCCATCGTGTTTTAAAGATAGAATTAGATAATAAGAGTTTAAGGCAAAGACCCACCTAACCCACCCCCCTCCCCACACCATTATNTGTTTTTGTATTGAAAATACGGCAGAGTGGGATTCCTGTTGTGTGCAATGCACCGTAAAATTCCAAAACAGAGAGAGGGGGATTGAATTTTGTAGATCCAGAAAAATAATATCTGTGGGATGCCTGCGTAGAGACTAGAGAGTCAGGTGGTGGGGTCTTAAATGTAAGACATGTGGCCGCAGCGCTCGGCCCCCTAGCCTGTTCTAGCCACAGCCCTTGGCCCAGAAAGTGTCATAACTTAACCTAACCCTTGGCCACAGCGATCAGCCCCCTAGCCTGTCCTAGCCGCAGCGCTCGGCCCAGAAAGTGCCTTAACCTAACCTAACCCTAAATAAATACTAATTTAATTATTTTTCTGGATCTACAAAATTCAATCCCCCTCTCTCTGTTTTAAAACTTTATGGGACATTGCACACAACAGGAATCCCAGTCTACCTGAAAATACCTGGTAGAATATATATATTCTGACGAGCTGCTGGTTAGTGTGGAGAGAAGTACCAAGGCTTGAGACAGAGAGGAGGCGTGGAATATTGAAGACAATACTCAGTAGGATAGAGGGAATCAGATAGATCAGTACTAAGTTTGTTCTTCCTCTAATACATAGAAATGCATTTCTGAATAGGATTTAGAATTTTTCCACTATTTGAAAATATCATTAATACCACAAATTTTTGAATTAGAACGAAGGTACACAACTAGGGCTATCTTAATTATATCCCCAAACAATTTTAGTAATCAGGCCTTTGGCCTCCACCATATTTTCTCTATGGGCAATGGGCATTTGCTGAATTCATCATTTACTCTAATACTAAACATGTTATTCGCTCTGTGAACAAAATTTATGAAAGTCCATTTGCTCTATGAATAAACATCACAATACTTTCTTTATATTTATTTTACATAAATAAAAACATCGACGATTCCCTTGCATTTATTGGTTTTAGGAACTTTTATTACTATTCGGTAAACCACGCAAGCAGAAACAACAAATTGGTAAACCTAAATAAGAATATCTTTATTTAATAATTTACCTTGATACTACTCTGGCCTCATAATTTAGAGGATCACTGATGGATTGATAACGCTCTAGAGTGACTGCTACAGTTAAAAAGATGCTCAAAGCCAGTCCTAAATTAAGGTTAAATTCAATAACACCAATTACATAACTTCAGATCTACAGCTATTATATAAAATATATCAAAACCTTATAATAAAGATTCCTTTTAAATCTTGCAATTTAATGGCTTCGGAAAGTTTTTACTATTAAAAATTGAAGACACTTAGAAAAGTTTGTAATAAAACAAGTGAAACCCACTTAGTTAGCTTAAGTATGTCGCTTACCTAAATGAGAACCCGCCTCTGAAAAGGCTGCTAGGCTTGTAAGCAGTGCAGGCTTATACCCCAGTGAGCTAGGTGCTAGGACCAAATTGCTTAAAACACAAACATATACAAATAATCTATTTAAATTTGAAGTCTAACTTTCTATGCCATCATTATTTATGTGAGGATTTAAAAATGGAATTCAAAAAGAAAATATTTTTACTGACCATAAACCTTTCTTGGAATCATGTGAGGAATAAGAAGACAAAATTTGGGCATCAAAGTTTCAGACGTTTAATGGTTATTGGGTACAAACAAACAGACGAGCCAAATATGTAAAAAGAAAAAAATCAAATTGCCTCAATACTACAATTTCTTAATTCCTATATTTTTGCAAACTGAAATTTATGAGTTTGAAATTGCATCTTCAGAAAATTACTGATGCATTTAACATTTAACATTTTAATAAACCAAATATGCATAAAAACGTGTTTTCAATGTTTAATTTTCATACCTGACAAGGAAAATGAGATCTGCCACACACAGGGAAGACAATAGAAGAGTAAACACATTTCTCATTAACCTGTACAAATTTAACAATTCCCCTTTTAACAAAATCCATCTCATTATTGTTAGGGTCTGTCCTAGTATACGATTTTTGGAAAAAACTTCCGTATTTAGACTTACAGTTTGTATATGTTAGTAATATGTTCACATTTACAGAAGGTTTCCGGAATTCAGGAAAAACTTGTCATCTCTTACAATACTAAATTATCTTTTAATCCTAGCAGTTTCTTTTCATGAGCATTCTGGATTCTTAGATGAATCCAAATTAATACTGCAATTCAATTTTTAAAGTGCGTTCTAAAAAATATAGTTTCACATTTTGGATTCTCATAGATAAATCCAAATTGATACCACAATTCAATTTTTAAAATGGGCTCTAAAAAATAAAGTAACACTTTTTTTGTAAATCCTGCAACTTGTTGCATGGTTTTAACAAAAATCCAATTTTTATTAACTAACTTTTAATCAACAGACTTAATTCTAAATTTTTAGAACTTTTTTTTTAAGTAGATCGTTATTGATTATGATTCTCTAAAAGCAAAAATTTTCATTATCTGGAACTAGTCAAGTCTACATCCAAAAAAAAGGCTTTATGATTATGTTCTGTCCCAACAAATTGAAATCAAAGAAATTATCATAACTTAATGTAAACAAGGAATCATATTGGGTCAAAACTAACAAAATAATAATGGGTAAGTGATATAAAACAGCTAAATCTAACTAAAAAGATTTTTTTTTAGTTAATGGAATGTTTGAAGAGGATATTATCAACATGTTTAATAGCAATGAATATGCTTCTGAAGATGTTCTGATTTTTTAAAAAGCTGACAAGATTACTTTAAAAAAGAATGTTTAAGAAATTAGAAAATGAATAAGTAGAATTCTTTTTTTTCGACTTATCTAAAAAGTTTTTTTTTATTATAGTATCTACAGTCTACACCATGTTTATCTTTGTGTGTGAAAATAAATCTCAATAAGTAATAATATTAAAGAAGTTTTAAAAAATTAATACCCCAGTGACATAAATTTAAAGTATAAAGAGAACCTCAGAAAGTTTTACTTCAAGGTATAAAAGTAAAAAAGTGCAATAATAAAAATAGTTCATGTGTTCATGGAGTTCATGCATGTGTCTAAATTATAGTAATTTTGATCTTGGTATCGGGTCTATTCTAAAATCCTCTTCAGGCCCAGGCCCCAGACAGTATTCACATGAGATTTTACACCACATTTCAGCCACTATAATAAGGTGAATGAAACGGAGCGACACATGTCTTGTAAACTTTCCCAAGATCTCTCTGACATCTTCTATTGACAAAACCTTCTTGCAGTGAATAATTACATCAATGTGAAAGTACAAAAGGCCTTCTTGTCCGGAATTTAAGGCACTATCGAGCATCATGTTGTTCATGAAGAGATTTTCTGACATCTTCTCTTCTATCGTGTTTCCCTTAAAAAGGGGGTTTTCCAGCATGACCTGCTTAGACCCATCATATTTCTGATGGTTTTCAATCTTAACATTAAATTTTTACAGAGTAAGAATGATTGTAGATTTTATCTAAATGGGGAGAAAATTATCACTCTTCCCTATTCTGACGACTTATAAAAACTGATCTGAAAAAAACATCAAAAAGTTCAAAACTACAGTAAATCCTAGAATTAAAAACGAAGATTAGACTTAAACCAGCAAAATGTAGAAAATTTTCCATCAGAGCAGGTGTTGTTAGCAGAATAAACTTTACTTTTGGTGAAATTCTAAATATATTTCAAGAAGAACAGAAATTTCTTTGGCAAACTTCTATTTATTGCTGGTAAACTTAGTGATGCATTTTTACTTAACTCCTCCTGTTTGGACACATGGAACAAGTAAGCTGGATAATTTGGCAGGTAGAAAGAAACCTACTGCCTAAAGAGCTTGTATTCGTAGCAAAACAACTCATATCTGTACCTCTAGGAATACCTGCAAGAAGAATTGCAAAGAAGACAATAAATTACCAACCATATTTTAAAGTTGCACTTGCACCAAAAATACACCTGGCTTAATAATATTAATAATAAAATGACTGAACAAAATTTCGAGAAAGAGATTTAAAGAAAATATGGAAACCCTTACATGGATGTGTTGTTTTTAAAGTCCCTAAAATAGCTTTAAGTCAATCAGAACTTACCAACATATTATAAAGTGTATTAATGTATATTTATAATTCTGTTTAGAAAAATTATGTTACTTTTTTGTAAGAATAACCAGGCTCACAATGTTTCCTGCAATTCCAAGAAGTCCTGTACACAAGGTGAATACTCCAGACAACCAGAACCTCCAGGCCTGGAATACGAAAAAAAAATGAAAATGAAATAAACAAGGCTTTCATTCTTTTAAAAAACAGGGTCAGACGTCAAGCATGTCATCTTACCTTTGGGGGCATACAATAAATTTGTTCTTTTGTGATTATAGCATATAATTCCAACTATTTTAATTTTCTTTGTTCAATTAAATTATGATTTCAAGAGGCAGACAACTGAATATAACCCAAGGTAGAACCAGAGAGGGTGAAAAATGATCCTGAGGAGCTCCAGGAGGATGTTCTCTGGTCAGAGGAACCTGCGGAAGAGATCACTGGTTTGAGCCTTTCTTTGGCAACCTTATTTATACAGACTCCTAGCTACAGAATAAAGAACTTATCATCTTTCTGTAGAACCAGGTAAGGACCTTTATACAAAGGATGGAGAGGAGGAGTAGCTGAATACTGTCAAACATACACAAGAATTTTAGCTCTCAGGGAAAAGTTGCAGGACTGAATGGATGCGAGAGAGAGATAAACTCCAGAGCATTTAAAAACATACCAGGGAGCATCAAGGGAGTTCCATAAACAGCTTCTGCTAAGAAACAAGCTTGATAATCCTTCAGAGCATTACATAAGCCCAAGAGAACCAGTGGAAGATAATGGATCCAGCCTGAACCTTCCAGTCTAGAACTTAGAGAATTCTTCAAGGAACAGTGAGATCTCTCAAAAGAGTTCGTCTTTGTATGAGAGATTCCATGGAGCAGGAGCTTCAAACACAGGAACCCCAATCGGATGGAATAAAGGATCAGCCACACTGTTCTGAGATCCAGGTGGATGTTTGATAGAACTTGTGAACTCCAATTTGAAAAAGTGCTGCCTCTATTGTCTAGCCACAAGGGCAGAGAAACCCTAAACAGAGCATGTGTCAATGGATTATGATAAGTAGATAAAGTGAACTGCCTTCCTTCCAGCAGGAACCTGAAGTAAAAATGATGGGGTAGGCAGCCAGTATCTCACGGTTGAAAGCAGAGTAGCTTGGCGCTGGGGCAGAAAGCTTCTTACTGAAGAATGATAACAAAGACCACGAGGATGAGATTCTCTCCTGGAGGACTGCATCATCATGAGACTCAAAATCATCGGCAGAAAGGGAGATTCTAAATAAGGGAACAGACGAACCAACCTGGGTCTCTTGATCAGGGTGGATTATGATCTGAGAAGAATTGTTCCGTGGATGCATGCCAGGAGAAATTCTTCGGGTTTACTTTCAAAGGAGAGGTGATTGAATGAAGTATTTGTGCAGCTTGATGAATTCTTGACCATGTGTAGTGGACTCAACCAAGGAGAACTATACCTCCTGATGATACCTGCCGCCTCTTTCTTTGTGAATTCAGCCTTGGCAGAGGCCAACTTCTTAGGATCTAAACTGCAGAAGGAAGAGAGATAAACAACTTAAAAGGGTCGAAGGAGTTAGAATATTAGAAGGCAAGTGCTTCAAGGTTTAATAGGGACGAAAAACATATCCTTGTTAAAACATCCTAAAAACGTTCTGAAAAGCCATGAGAAATTGATGATACTAAAATAAAAAGGTCAAACCACCTGTAAGTTTTGTTTTGCAGAGGCTGCACAGAAAACAGGGAGCCATGTGTGCAATTTCAGATGATAAGAAAGTGCAAAACAAATGTTGTTCACAAACTAGGGGTCACTGAGGGAGGGGGACTACTCATATGGTTTTGGAATTGATCCCAGGGTTTTCCAGGGTTCCCAGGATTTTGAAGTTGCTACCAGGGTTTTGGAGTAAAATGTGAAAATGTATCTGACCTTTTATGAAAAGTACTTTAAAAAGGGTACTTTAAAACCAAAAATTCTAAAAAAGGGCTCTGCTACCACTTTTTTACTGTATTTGTTCAGATATTTGCAGGGTAAAAATCGCAAATTTCACTCCAGGTAGCCTGTGGCGATCATATAGTTTTAATTAGTCAAATTGATGACATTTGTTGTAGCTTAATAAACATTATAAAAATCTTGTTTTTAGCTAGATACACAAAAGTTTCATTTGAGCTGGTCTAATACATCTCAATATCTTTATAATTTATCTTATATTCAATTTTTTTTCAAAAAGAAAATCCAAATTTTTCCCTAAAAATTTTTTTAATTGATTGTTGCCATTAAAAATGCGTTTTTACTCAATACAAATTGTTCCATGTAAAATTTAGAGCCTTCTATCATCAAATATTGACATATCTAAGGAAAACTATGTTTTTTTCTTAGTTTTCCTCAGATATCTCAATAATTTGATGATGTTTACTATAGTGCAATGCGACTGTACGGGTCATAAAGAAAGGGTTTTCAAATAGGTAGAATCCTTAATGACTAAATGAGTCTAAAATTATGAACGGAGTCTAAAATTACGGACTTTAAACAATCCAAAGTTTGGGTTTACTGACATAGGGTCAAACAACTAAGGGTCAAACGACCACATGTCAAACAACCACAGGTCAAACGACTATGGGTTAAACGGCATAGGGTGAAACCACCTAGGGTCAAACAACAAACAATCAAAAAGTTGACAAAGAGTAAAACGACAAAGGGTTAAAAAAAAAAAAATATTTTATGTATTATTTCAGGGTTAGGTTAGGTTAAGACAATTTCTGGGCCTATGCGCTGCGGTTAGGACAGGCTAGGGTGCCGAGCGCTGTGGCTGATAGTGCAAATGAACAAAAAAATAGTTTAAATTAACCATAAAGTAGTCTAAATGAAATTTTGCCTGTTTGTCGCACTTTTTGGTGCTATGTCATTTTGCCCTTTGCATTGTTGCGTTTTTGACCATTTGTTATTTAACCCTAGGTCCTTTTACCCTATGTCGTTTGACTCTATGACATTTTACCTTAGGTCGTTTGACCCTATCATAGTTTTAAGTTATGATAAACCTGAATAGTTTTGAGGCTAGGAATTACTCGACACTCTTCTAAATCTTCCTCCATTGTTTCTTCTATACTGTCCGCAGAGAATACTTCTATAATGGAAAATTTGTGTTAGAAGGAAATGTAAATGAGGAGAAAATCGGAAAAAAGTGGAGAATTGCAGAGAAAAGTGAAGAAAAAAGAAACAAAAAGCAGGGGGTATAGGGGGGAGAAATTAGGCCTAACATGTTTTGAAATATGCATAGGTGAGCTTTGCACCCTTTTTCCCATTAACAATTTTAGCTTTGAACTCTTAAAGTTACAAGTTTAAATCGATTTAAAAGTGTCTTTGATTTCAATGGTAGACAAATTATATCAATACAATGAAAACGAATTACAAGTTTACAAGTAATTAAAGAGAAACTTTTTTAATTGAAATCTTCTCTTAACTTCTAACTTTATGTGTATCCAATCCATGCTGTTTAACAACTCAACTAAAATTCAAAGTTGAAAGCAGTCTTTTATGTATTGATATAATTGCCTACCGCTGTAGGTGCATTTTTAAAAATTATACATTTTGACATTTTTTTTGGGCAACATTTTTCTACTTCGAGTTTCAACTGGCCATAAAACCTTCCCTGGGGTCAAGTGAGTTGGCTCAAAAATTCTGAACTTGATCGGTTCAGACTGATAGACAAGCAAAGTATATATAAATAGACTACATATCAGTGAAAACGCAAAAATCTTCTTATTACACTTATTCATAAATAGGTTACATAAATATTCTTTTCTTATCAATTGACAAATTGTCCATATAATTATAATATCTCAAACTCTTTCCTTATAGACCTTAATCTTATCTACAATTTTTTTCGTGGGGTTTCATTTTAAATCAATATTAAAAAGTGGTATGATTGGTAATTAGGGTCAGGTAACGGATTGCAAGGTAAGTTAATATTTAATTTAAAACTTGCTTTTTGAAAGTTTTGCAGTTCATGTAAAGATAAATCTAGCTGTAAGTAAAATATAGTTTTACATTAATTCATTAATTCGCAGATTCGATCCCAGGTTACTCATAAAAATGAAAAAAATGTTTACCTTTGATTTACATTGAAAACATACATTTAAGTATAAAAATATTAAATTACTACATCATATATGAAATAAATTACTGTCAGGCTTGCTAGTGTAAAGCTTTAAAGCTTCTTCTTACAGTACCTGTCACATTTGTATAGGTAATTTGTGTTAAGTCCATGTCTTCTAAAACACAAAAATTATATTTAATTATATTTAATCTATGTGTGTGAATTAATCTTTATAATTATTAATAATTTCGCCTTGGCCTTTGGAACCTTCCAATCAATTTTTTTGCACAAAAACCTTGCAATTGCACAATTACGTAAAGATTGTCTTATGTTTTGAGTAAAAATTGCACGAAATTTTTATATAATTTTGCATTGATACGAAAAATCTATTTTGCGCAAAGTCTGAAGAAAATCTTGTTTTTTGCGTATTTCGTTGTTTACTAGCTATTTCAATTATTTCAAATTATTTTGTTAAAGCAATTGCAAGGAACAATTTCAGAAATGAATGAATAAATAACTCTTGCACGCAAATTTATGACAGTTTCGTCCAGCCGACGGAGATAGGTAACAAACATAACTAGTTTTGCATATTTTTTTATTTTGTAAAACTAGTGTGACATTTTTTGTCACACATAGATAAACTAAAATGTATGTTTCTTTAAAAAATGGTTAAACACCTTCAAACTTTTACATCCTGATATCTAGATGTTTAAATTACTGTCTTGGCATGGCAACGGAAAATACAGTTTGGTTTTTATCATGCATTTCAACATACTCCCAGACCCAGACGTCTATATCTTTGTAACCTACTTTCTATCTAAAGTTCAACTTAGTAAACTAGGCTGCATGCGCGCCAGACCAATCCTTTACTAGTTTATTCTAAAACATCCAATAGAATCATGAAACTTTTTGTATCGACCAATAACAGACCAATATTTGATGTAAAATCGTTTATGTATCCAATGAAATAATGTATGTCAAGGAATTTCATTATCTATAGTATGTTATCCTTTATATATTTGTGCGCAAGTGCAACCCCTTGTGATTTTTTTGGTATAAAAGCTTTGTAAACTTTGTACATTGTCACTCTATTCTCTACCTTTGTGAAATATATTCTGACAGATAAAAGTAAGTCATTTAATATAGTTTTTTCGTATAGAGTCTACAGTCGGAAATTGTCCATCTTTGGGAGTGTTGTAAAAAGGAATGTTACAGTATTGCAAATCAAATCTCTAGAAACATACCCTGGGAACATTAGCGTAAATTCAGAGTTTTTTAGCTCTCCGCATTGCTTAAGCTTTGCGTTGCTATTGTCTTTACTAAGACAGTTTTTGGGAAAAGTTTCAGAGTAACAACATATAAGACATTTTAACCTAAAACATTCATATTTACATCACTCTAGAATTTGGATTTTTTCTGATTATATAAGATATATTAAAGCTTCATTTCTAGTAAAACATATCACACCTAAAAAGCCCATTTTTATGGCAAATTAAAGAACTTTAAAACCTAGAAATTGTAGCACTAGATATTCGAAATATCTAAACAATTACATATATGTATATCTATGTGTGTGAATTAATCTATATAATTATTAATAATTTCGCCTTGGCCTTCGGAATCTTCCAATCAAATTTTTTGCACAAAAACCTTGCAATTGCGCAATTACGTAAAGATTTTGTTGATGTTTTGAGTAAAAATTACACGAAATTTTGATATAATTTCGCATTGATACGAAAAAGCTGTTTCGCGCAAATTCTGAAGAAAATATTGGTTTTTGCGTATTTCGTTGTTTACTGCTATATTTCTTTATTGTGAATTATTTTGTTAAAGCAATTGCGAGGAACAATTTCAGGAAATGAATGAATAAATAACTCAGGGTTTCTTGCACACGGAGATAGGTAACAAACAAGCAGACAGACAAACGGAAATATATGCTTATCTGCAGATTAACACAAATATGTCATCAGAAGGGCTGGGCATGTTCCGACTTTTTAAAATCATTTCCGTTTCGTTCTAGAACGAGGGCCTTCAGCTCGATCGTTCCATTCCCGTTCCTTTTTTTTCAATCGTTTCGTTTTCATTCCGTTCCGTTTCGTTCTTATTCAAAGAATGGTCATCCCATTCCGTTCCATTCTTGGTGTTCTTAGTCCAAGGACAGTTGCATTCCCTGTTCTGTTCTTAGTCAAAAAGATAGGAGGGGGGGGGGGGGGGGGGGTTACTTTAGAGGTGTACAAGACAAAAGTTTTGTAGAAAAGAGGTTGTTAAAAAATTTTAAAAATGACGATTTTATAATAAAAAGTTCCCCACGGTCGAAAATATACTTTAAATTATTTGTTTTAAATTCGGGGTTAAAAGGATAAGCTTAGATTATTTCTGGGCCGTGCAATGTATATTTTTTGTGAAGTTGTGGGAGGGGCGGGGTCATAAAATCCTTAAAATATATGATAGCGTGAAAAATTGCTGAGAACCTGGTTTATCTTTAAAAAGGGGGTGTACAATTTGCATATTTAAAGAAAATAATTAATTTACATGATCAATATTTCAAAAATATTAAAAAGATATATAAATAACTTATGGAAAACAATTTCTTTCAACCCCTAAAGCTACCCTCCCTCACGAGAGAGGGAGGCCGAGAAAGGGGGGTTTAGAGTGTGGGGGGGGGGGGCAGGTGATCGAATCAAAAACATATTTTAATTATTTCTAGATGATTTAGCATGCATTCCTGATTTAAAATGTGTACCTGTCTTAGAACGCGTTCTTGATAATAAGAGCGCGTTCCTGATTTTAAACGTTCTTTCAAGCTAATATCAATTCAGTTCCGTTCTTTTCTTCTCCGTTCCCTTCCAATATTTTTAAGAATGCGTATTTTCATTCCGTTCTTTTTACCGAACGATGGGATCATTCTTGATAGTTCCGTTCGTTCTTGTGAAAGAACAATTGTTGTTTAAGAACGACGCCCAGCCCTAGACTGAGACTGAGACGCACATCCAGTGGCACCTTTTTAGCGTTTTCTCAAAACATATTTATCATGACATATTCTATTAATAAAAGTAACCAAAATTTTAACAGCTTGTCTGAACTATGAACATGATAATAATTTGATTCTTGTTTATGAATATAATTCTGCAGTTTTGAATGAATTGTTTTTATTGAAACTGATTTTGTATCTACTGATTCATGAAAACCCTAATCTTGATAAAGTAAAATAGTCTATTGTTGATTCTCTGTTATGATAAATATAATACCTTTTTTCGTAATTTTTGTAATTAAGAATTACTTTGATTGTTTTAGGATGAAATTTTTGTAAAACATCATGTATAAACTATAAAAAAACTTTTGATAGATCTTATAGTGTGAGATTTAACTCTATAAATCAGTGAAAGTTGTCCATTCCTGACAAAGTCTATGATTGAACAAATTGAACCGATAGACGTTGGACATGTCGTACTCGTCGCCGGCACTTTTAGAGCTTAACATATTTGACTTTTATAATAATTATTACAGAATATTTTACTTGCCACCAATCCTGTTTCTTTAAAAAATGTTTATTTTCTTATGTGATGGTTGGGTTCTTAAATCCTTGATTAATCTAAAACGGGGGATAATCCCCCGGCCTCTCTTTCAATCAATCAGTATTATCCATTGAACAGACAAAATTATAAACAGCTCAAATTTCAGTCTCGAATACAAAAATTTAACATTTAAAAGATTACTTATAGGTTATTGGTAGTATAAGACAAAACTTTATCAAACTGGTTCGAATTTATTCTTAAAATATGTTTAATCTTGCAGTGATTGCGGTAGTTTTATTTCTAAATATAGCAAGAATGAGTGTCATCTAGTGTGTCATTGGCAGCCCTCTGGTTTTCTCTCTGGCACTCTGTTTTTTTATACTCTTACAAGCATTTCACGGTGTCTCTGGCGGAGAACTGGCGTTAAAAATCTCTCTCTCTCTCTCTCTCTCTCTCTCTCTCTCTCTCTCTCTCTCTCTCTCTCTCTCTCTCTCTCTCTCTCTCTCTCTTTTTTTTCTCTTTTTCTTCACATTTTATAAGTTGTTTTACATGTTCATTTTACAACAAGTATTATTTGTCTGGGCAAAAGAACTCCAGAACTCCAGGATCTACTTCAACAAGATCTTGACCGTTGTAGCATCTAGCATTACTGAATACTTCTGCGGCCTGAATAAAAGTGTAATCATTGTTCAGATACAAAAAAAAACGTTTAGATTGAGTGATCAATATAATATTCTATAAACGAGGTGTTTTTAATAAGTTTGAGAAATTGTTTGTAGTTACTTCTAGACCCCTCAGCCCATTATTTTTTTATTTTAATATTTTACTTGTATAATTTTTGACCAGCTAATGTTGATCCGGTTATATGTCAGACACAATTATCTTTCTCCGGAGCCCGTTAACTTTGCTTTTATACATCTTCTTTGTCCACATAACATTTTAACCTAAAACATTCATATTTACATCACTAATGGGAGGGCTTTGGGTATGTAGGAAAAGTCAAAAAATTTCAACAGCCTCAGACCAATACTTTTTGAGTTATGTAAAAAAAACTACAGGGTGGGGGTCAACAGCAGGAATAGGGTTAACAAATTTGGTGAATGATTTAATATGTGATAGTTTAAAATATGCATTAAAACTTTGATGTGTGATCGATAATAACACTGCAGGAGTTCGTGAGTTATCGGATATTCAAACATACAAACAATGATTACTAACTTTCTATATATATCAATGTATAAATGTTTAGAACAAGAAAACAGAAAAGATGAATAAAAAAGCACATTATGAGGTAAAGTTATACAAAGTTTCAGAATAATTTTGGGAAAATCATTCGCAAAAGTTTATTAGTAATACCTGAAGTTCTACAATGATCCATTTTACATCACAACCACAGTCTAATGGATTGTTCTCAAGATCAATTACACCCTGAAAAGATCCTAATGTGCACTTTATGTATCCTACAATGTTTGTGTATGATCAAATATAATTTTAGATTTAACCCTGAAAACTAAAAGGGAATCGCCTTGTTATTGATTACAAGCTGAAGTGCCCGCGGCGTTGTCCATTAAATATCGAATTTGTATAAAAAGTTAAATTTTTGAGAAACAAATTCAATTTTTGAAGAAAAAAAAATTCGAAATTTTTTTAGCCTATTTTACTCCCCCGGCACCCATGGGTTCCCGTAAAAAATGTTAGTCAATTTGGAGCAGCTGTTTGGCTGGCTATAACTGACATATAGATTTGCTTTTAAATTATATATTACAGACCAGTCGAAAACATTTTTGCATTACATTGTCCAATGAGTTTAAAATATGCATAATGTATTGTATATTTATAAACATGATTAAAGTTTCTTTTTGTTCATTTGGAGGCAGACAAATGAAAGGTGTTTGCAGTAATAAATACATATTATCAATAAAAGGAGTCCTCCGATTGAGGACAAGAGGAAAGCGGAGTAGGTTTTCTTGCTGGGACAGGTTATCTTTACCTGAGCTAAAGGAGTGTATAAAATCTTTTCAGTCAATCCTCTCCATGTACTTTCATTCAGCTGCCTATACGAAAAATCATGCTAAGAAATATACCCTTGTTTAAATAAGATTTTTTTTAAACATATACTGAACCCAACCTTAAAAACTTGATTTTGTGTATTCTTATTAGTTCTATTTTTCTAATAAGCAATAATCGCTCCCTACTTCATTGAATGACGAGTTGTCCTGAGTAATATTATAATCATCTTGAATTTGACGATGACTGTACACTGTACAGCTAACGATAATTTGTATGTACAAACGTCCGCCCGAAATACGTTATAGGAAGGTACAAAGGTCAGACAAACATCGGAGAGTACAAATGTCAGACTGGTACATCTATCAGGAAAAACATGGACTCTTTTTTGATTTGATTGATTTTGAATTGAATTGATTTGAATAATGATTTTAACGATGATACTGGTTTTTGTAGGAAGACATTCATTTGTAACCAGTTTATGGAGGTACTTCGCAAGAATTCAGTTTGCCGCCTCCTCGTCCTCGTCGCTTACTGAGATTACGAATTTTTTAGAGAGAACATTGTGGAAATTTCAAAATTTTGATATTATTTCTCAAATAAAAATAATTTTCTTAGTCCGAAGTTTTGTACTCGTCTGACATTTGTACTGGTCGAGACGTTTGTACTGTCCGACGTTTGTACAGGGGGCGGAAACGTCATTTGTGTGTGTCTGTACCAAAAGAGTGTGCAGTCAGTTTAAAGTACCGAAGGTGTGTACTGTAGGTTTATACAGTACGTAAGAATCTTGGTATTTGTACAGCCTAGGAGAGTACATTTGTTTATTGTTAATTGTTTACTTAGAAATAAGTTTAATATACATGTAATATATTATTTAAATATTTAAGTCAACACTGTAAAGCCAAATTTTCATGCAAAGAATATAATTTGATTAAAGTTTACAATAAACTACTCGTTATTCAAGTTTAATTATAATCGACGACATTGTTCTACAATTTCCTTGACTGTAGTCATGTTGTGTGTCTGTACCAGAAGAGTGTTTGTGAGTTTACTGTACTGGTCTGCAAAGCAGTGCGACTGGCTTTCTCTTGCCGGACCAGCGCCATTTCCTTTCCCTATATTCCTGTTCCCTGCGTTTGTACTGGTCCGACGTAATTGTACTGTACGACGTTTGTATCAGTCAAGCGCTATAGCCGGGCATTTAAAAAGAGATCATGGGGGGGGGAGGGTGACTTGTTTTTGTCACAGTCTTCTATTCAAAATGCATGCCTTGTGTTTCATGGTAAGAATGAACAAAAAATGTATACGTTAAATCTTTTCATTTAAAACATTGTAGCTTGCATTGATTTAAAATAATTTCAATTTATGATTACTTTTCAATTTACTGAGCTGGGAACTTTTGATTTCTGGATATCGGGATTAATGCTTGATCCACTCTTTTTCTTAATCTCTAGATTAAATAATAATTGTTCTCCTCTTGTTATTAATTTCCAGATTAATTTACTGATCGGGATTAAGGATATCCCATTCAAAAGTTTTCAGCTCTGTTCATATCATTCACCAAGAGGCAATCAAGTAAATCCGCTATAGTGCGTACATTTGCAAAGGTCAATGTGTACAAAGGTTTCACAGGAAACATACAAATTTCGTAAACAACATATAGCTTTTTTGCAAGAACATATAGCGGATTCAAGATAATTTAGATATATTCTAAAGACCATTCATCATAGATTCTGGGGCGTTGCAAGCACGCCAGAGCATTTGTTTCGTCTGGTTCGTGTATAAAATACCATATTTACGGAAATCACCTGTTTTTCGTCGGATTTTAGAAGATAAACGCAACATTACTACGACTTAAACACTTCTCTAATAAAAAAAATTAAGCGACCGGGCCTTATTTGACTTGAGCAAGAGGTTTATGGCGTAACCTCAATTATCCTGACCCCCTAATACACCAATGTGCTACTTTTTTGGGTCCAACATTTTTACTAGTACCTAGCTAGAAAATTTTTATTAGTTAATACCAAAACTGTTTGATATAGAAAATTGTTTTTAATTTAATTATTAAATTTAGTCACTCTAACTTTTTGTTTTTTACCAAACTACAAAAGACTATGCCTAAAAACAACCTTTCTGACCTAGTAATAATCTGCACTGTAAGTTATTTTTTGAAAAATTGATATGTTGATCTAATTCTGATTCTACACGGGAAAGGGGGCAACCACCAAGTGGCCCCCCTGGCCCCCCTACTGTTACGGCCCTAAAATGGACTAAATGATGAAAGAAACAATTATTCTTTATCTGAGTTATAATCAATAGTTAATACCTTATGTAGTTGTTGTGAAGCAATACTTTGGTGTTAGCACTGCACATTTTAAATTCGTCATAAGTATAGAATATATTTATTTGCAGTTTACCTAGTTTAACGTATTGAATGCCTTAATTGGACTATAATTTCAAGTGACCAATATTTGAATAGTGGCATGTTCAATTCTTAACGGTACCCTTAAAACCCATATCTTAGCAACAATGAGGAAGATTTGTCTAAAATATTCTTAAATTCTCTTATTCTTTCTTTTTTGTCGATTGGTTACTTTTGTTGCTCCAACACAACTTGTTCAATATTTGTCTAGTTTAACTGTGCATGGTTTACCAAAACACTTTATCTATATTACGAGCAATTTACCTCAAGTATAAAAGCTTTTAAGGATAAGAGATGTAAATTTACACTAAACTAACACAAAAAAAAAATATTCTTCAAATATATACTCATTAACCTTTCTTGTTAATTTAAAATTTAATTAATGTAAACAACTTTTAATTTATTAAAAGATTAAACAGAAAGACATTTTCAACTGTATTGTAACCAACTCTAAAACTAAGCATAATCGCCTAAAAATTGTGAGTTTTAAAATTTACTATCATTTTAATTGTGCAGAAATTAGGATGAATATACAATATAGTTAAAAGATTTAAAAATCATTTCAAAAACCTGGCAACCTGAATTTTTTGCTATGATTATGCGAATTTCCTAATTTCGTCTAGGTTCCCTTGAATTTCCTAAATTAAGTAAGTTATTTAACGATTTCTTAATCGAAACATTGTTTAAATAATGATGGCGTGTTTTGCACATTACAACACATTACCTTTATTTTGTTATCTCCTATGTTGAGAATAGAAAGTGAAGGCAGGTTACTAAAGTAAAACAGTATGAGCGTTGTCTTTTTTCAGATTTCAGTCGTAATTAATATAAAGAATAGTAAATAAATCTAATAAATTGTTACCCATGATAACTTGTTTGTAATTAGAAAAACTACTTTATTTGAATTTTGGGAAGATCATTATCATTGAAGTGCTATCTTAGACCCCAATAGCTTCATTGTTGAATTGGAGACGCCTAAATCATTGGGGGGTGGGGGGGAAGGGGGGTACACTTCAAAAAGACAGTTGTAGGTCTCAGAAAATCTGGGGACTCTGATGAAAATTTGGGAGTTTTGAAAGAAAATTTTATTTAAAGTTTAACATTTTTCAACAGATTTATTCATTGGTCTTAATTTACCCGAAAGTTCCTTTTTTGATGATTTCCACACAGTTGAATGTAATAGAGAGATGGGTCAAGCTAGTCAGCATAACAAATTTAGCAAAATTTAAAATATTTGATTAATCACCTTTAATATATTGTTTATTGACCAAAAAATAAACGAAATAGTGGTTTTAGATTTTTAAAATTTAAGTGTTTTATTCCGTATTTTTTTTGTTAAACTGCTAATCTAATACTTTTTTAATGCTTTTTTTATTTTTTATTTTTTATTTTTTATTTCCAAAGCCTTTGAACTTATTTTTTGGCCCGCATAATGTTTGTATCAATTTTTAAATTATTCCTTATTAAATCTGTATTTGAAAATAAACTAAGTTGTTAGAAGAGATTTCAAGAATCAAATAACATTTTCAGTTAAATAATTATTCCTAGTAAGGTTTAAGAAGGTACCAGATTCAATAGAGTTCACCTTAAAGATTTAGTTTTCAAATTTAAGTGCTTTAAATTAATACAAAGTTATTATTTAGATAGATCAACACTGGAAAAGGAAAGTAGAGAATAAATCTGAAATAATTTGAAGCCCCCATAGCCCCCCCCCTGAATACGCCTCTGGTCCTATCTGTTATTTAAATTATTCTATGCTAAAAGTAAACCTGAGTGAAATCATGCCAAAAATGAAAAAGTAAAAATTTATATTTTTTTCTGAAAATTAAACTCGACCTGAGAATTATCAATGAAAAGGGAAGTCAAATATTCCAATCCTTTAAACGTATCTGAGTTGATAGTTTGTAGAGAACCGTCAGACAAACTCAGAAATCTGAAATCAGATTTGAAATTTAATAAAATAATTTTGCATTTTTTGTGATTGTAAATCTATCTGTTTACTTGTTCGGAAATGTGTGTAAAAATTGTTGTGATTTAGACGAAGTGGATTGGAGTAAATATTCATTAGAAGAAGAAAATAACTTAACCTAACCAAATCGCAAATAATAAAGTCATGAAATGAGAAACCATAAGGCTTAAAGGATTATGAAAAACAAACAAATACCTTAAGTTTTCAAGCGAAGAGAAAGATGGAAGGTTGCTGGACTGGGCGTTAAGTCCGTGTAATTTTAATTGTGTTAAGTTTTTGAGTCCTAAATATGCAAATTATAAGATAGTAAACGCTTTAATTACATTGTTCTGCAAGTAAATTGAATCATTTCTTTTTCCTACTTTAGACCATAAATATATCATTCTATGTATCACACCAATAACAATAGATATCATAATAAGATCAAATTATAAGTATATCATAATCATAGTCTGTAGAAAATCAAATTTAAATATATAATTTAATACTTTTAATACTGAAATTTTTTAAAAGTAATAATAGAACAAATAACTGTATGAGAAGCATGACGCTCTTTTTTCTTATCATCTTATGCAAACTGTGAATTTTTAACAATTTGGAATAATGACAGTTTTAATATTCTGTAAATATAACTCTTGGTTATTTTATCGTATATTTACTATGCTTTCAGGGCCTTTCGCGTTCATCTTTTATGTCGACTTTTAACTGTTGCTTAATCTGTGACCATTTTCGTTTTGTCTTCATTATAAAACAATAACAAAAATATTTTTTGTGGATTTTCAAAAATTATCAAAATCAAATTTTTTGGTGACAAATTCTTTGCTGTTTTGCCGTTTATTGGTTACGAACAAACAGACAGACAAGCAAAGTATATTTGTACATTAAACCTGTTAAAATGTTCTGATCTGGGGTAATGAAATTATATGGATCAAAGTATATATGTACATTAAACCTGTTAAAATGTTCTGATCTGGGGTAATGAAATTATATGGATCAAAGTATATATGTACATTAAACCTGTTAAAATGTTCTGATCTGGGGTAATGAAATTATATGGATCAAAGTATATATGTACATTAAACCTGTTAAAATGTTCTGATCTGGGGTAATGAAATTATATGGATCAAAGTATAGATACTGCAAACTATCCCTGGAACCTGAAAACACGGTTTCTTGTTCATTTGATTCACAAAAGAAAAAAAAAATTAATAACTTTTAATAGCTCAGTTTCATTTGCCATACTACAATTGCCATAAATATGTTTGCCACAATTATGTGTAAATATTTAATGCATAAATAATTTTGCCTAAAGTAGCATTTACAATAAATTACCCTTGCCATAATTACTTTTGCCATAATTTTCTTATTTTCTTAATTTTCTTAATGCCTAATTTAAGTTTACAAACGGATTGAATTCAGAAAAGTGGATCTCAATATTTTCTAAATGGAGGAGCCTACATAATACAAAGCTATTTTCTTCTTCACAGATATGAAATATTGGAAATGTTTGATGGTATTTGTAATCATAAATAATTGTAAAGGCTAATTTTTAAAATTTTGATCATACGATTATCATATTTTGGCAAGTGCACCATTATAGCAAAATGAATTTATGATCAATGTAATTTATGGCAAATGTACTTATAGAAAACGTATTTATGACAAATGAAACTGAGCCTTTTCATTTAATATTAATCATGTTTTAAAAATTGTCTCGTTTGTTGTCAAATACTTGGATTTTCCTTGCAATAACCAATTCATTACCATGACTTATAAGAAAGTCAATTTTTTTAGTATTGAATACTTTTTTTCTACATTTTTAAAAATATATTTATGTATTTTTACATTATTGATTTGATTCAGTTTTAAAAATACCGAAAATTCAGATGACATTTTACTTACTTTTAAAAGCTGTAGAAGTAAACTGTTGAGTTGAGATGTTTTGAGTTGATTCAAAGTGCTCCAGAGTAAAGTAAGTTATTTCAAACCTTTGGCAAATAAGTTTTAAGATGGAATTCCATCTTTTAAAATCTTAAGTTGATATTTCAATGGTTACCTTCCTGTCGTATTCTCGTTTAGAACACCGTCAAATCCAAAGTTCCAGCACTTTTTAGTTTAATTTTACTCTTTTATTGTATTTTAGCCCAAACAATCTGAGCTGGTTTTATTTGAAACCATGTTATGGCTCATTCAAGGAGGGAATATAGAATTATAGAATAAAGAAAATGTTGATATATGTTTTATTTAATAATTACCTGGTCACAAGTCATCTCAAGCACATAGATCTAACAATGTAAAAAAGTCAATAATGATATTTTTTTAATAGAAACAGAGAGTTGGAATTTTCTATTAAATATTTAAAGAAAGCCAACCTTATCATATGAATCAAATTCATCAAAAACTTGCTGAAACTTGATTAAATTTTCCTCTTCATTTTCTCCCATATCCCAGTAGCATGTTAAGTAGATCCTAAACATAGAACACTTTTTAAATAAGTTGATTTTTAATTCAGAGAAAAGAATCTTAAATTTTTTGATTCAAGATGGGGTCCTTATGTTTATGTATCAAACATTGGAACATTAGATGGAACAAGTAAAATTTTGTTCTAAGCTAACATTAGAATGTGTTTAAAATAAAGAGGACTAAGTTTGTTTAAGTAAAATGTGTTTCGTATTATAAACTGTTTTAAATAACAAAAGCACCATATATATTAAGGTTTTGAATACTACATTTAAGATTTATGATTATCATGTTTCTCTTATATTTCTTATTGGAACTAACTCGAATGTGCGAGGATCTGCTAAACAATCACAAGGTAGGATAGAAGAGGCAGGTGGATAGGGACAAATAATTGCATCCTGAAATAAAAAAATTCATTCTGGGACTGTGTTCAGGAAAAATGAAAAGGAACCTAATTAATGATTTAATGAATGTGAGACATAGTTCAAGAGAACTGATTGATCTATGTATGCTTGGTTAAGGTGACTCTTGTAATTCATTTAATCTGCAGTCTGATAATGAATCATGATCACAACATGTTATATGAATTTTATATGATCTTTTTTCATTGTGAAACTTTTAAAACTTCATAATTATTATATTAATAGATTTTAACTGTTGTAAAGAAGTAATTAAACAAATTTTGTTTTGTTCTAAGTCATTGTCATATTTTAGCTTAATTCAATGACTTAAAATTCAGTGTTTTATGGCTATCTAAAAAAACAAGCTCCTTAAGAAAAATTTTTATAAAAAAATTATGTTTTTAGATTAAAAGTGAAAAATATCAATATAAACTTGATTCTTAACTAAATGTTACACATCTGTTGCGCCATCAAGGAGTATAATGGAAAATAATCACGCTTGTCAACCAACTTTGTATGCTAAATTGTATTGATTTTATTAAAACTATAGTTGTATTAAAACCATCATGTCCACATTGTGGGAAGTTTTATTTGTTGTTTCATGTGTTATTTTCGATGAAAATCGGTTCAGTCAACACCAGGGGAGTACTGGAGGTTTAGCCGGGGGATGGTTTTAAAAGGCAGAGGCGCCTTTTTAGATTTAATTTTGTTACGAGCTTTAGAGCACTGGGGAGGGTCGAGAATTTTTGTCAATGTTTGAAAAATATTTAACTTAGCATAATCGTAGGATGCTGATTTTTTTCACGTGAACTCAGTTTTGAGACCTAGGGGCCAGGGGGTTCTAGGGGGTAAATAGGGTTCCAGACCCCCAACCTCCCACACCAGTGCGCCCCTGGTCATTCGTGTAGAATCATGTACATAAGGCGATGGATGGTCTGGATGTGGGTTTATTGGAAAACCCCTACTGGAGGAGCGGGGGAAGGTAGGCGGCCATGAGCCACCACTATTTCCCCTTCCGTGCCACATATTAGCTTTTTTCTCTTCCGGCAGCCATGAGCCACCACTATTTCCCTTCCGTACCACTACATTTGACTCTTCCGGGCAAAACTACTTTTTTAAATTGTATATTTAGGGCCTGTAAAGTGTGATTTAAAAAAAAATCCAGTCGCTTCACGCAAAAAAGCACAACTCAAACCATTTTTTCAATTCTTCTTGAGATTAATATTTTGTGTGTTGATTTCTTAAACTGTTTTACAATGAAATTTTTGACAAATTTGACTGAGTATTGCATCTTGAAATATAACAAAGTCTAATGATTATTCAATTACTGACTCATTATACTAAATCACTCATTAACCAACTTTGTTATATTTTAAGATGCAATAATCAGTCAAATTTGTCAAAAATTAATCGGGGTGATTATAGTGAACTTAAGAAAAAATTAGGACTGAGACGTCTACAAATAAGTCAAAAAATGTCACGACTTAGCATACATAGTATACATATCTCGTACATCAGGGTAAAATAAAAATGTTGTGAAACATGATACGGTTTTCCTTAGTGAGTTCCATTAAAGTAAGCCATTTAAGCAATCGTGTAAGTATTTGATGCTGTTAAAAAGCATTCAGATTCAAATCATCAATGAGTGAAATGTACACTGTACAAATTTAGTTGTTCGTGTTCTAGTGGCAAAGATTTTGTTTTTGTCGATCATGTTCAGCTCCTTCATTGAAGTTAGTTTGGCCGACTGATTTCAAAACTAAAATGCACAATACAAGGTAGATACATGTAAAGTACGGTCATGGAGGAGAGTTTATTTAATTTTACTGCCATGTCTTGGACTTCTCAGGAACCCATTTTAACTCTACCAAGCAGCTCAAGAAAGTTCCATCCTTTGTTTATAATATTTGTTATTGTGTTGTTTATAATTGTTCCTGGTATGCGTACACAAACCTTATTTCCCGAAAATTTGGAATACACTATACTTACGTTGGCCCAACTACGATATTTTAATTTTATTAAAAACTTTTATAATTATTAACAGAATTAACCTCGGGAGGAGAGGGAGTGTTGGGTTGTTGTGCAGTAAGTGAACCAGCCAGGAAAAAAACAATCAGAACTATTTAAATATCAAAGGAATTGAGTCTTTGCCACAAACTCTGATTTTCTAATCCCTATGTATTTGCAACCCAATGTGGTAGACCTTAGATATTTCAGACTATTAATTCTGATATATTATATAATCTAAGTAGGAAATACCAAAGGTTTACACCATAAGGTTGAAAAGATCTAAACAGAACAAAATTGAGTTTCATACAAAATTGACAGAAGATAATGATAAAAATTCCCTTTACCGCTTGCAATCTTTTCCTATTAAATTGTCCTTTGTTCTAATCCATTTGACTAAATATTTGTTTTATTTAAATACTTGATAGTTGACACACAATTTAAAGATATCGATTTAAGCTACAGTGGTAGGCGATTATATCAATACAATGAAGACGACTTTTGATTTTAATGTTAAACAGCATGAATACAATAAACACAAAAGTCAAGCTGTCAATTAAAAAAGCTTCTGTTGGATTACTTGTAAACTTCTAATTCGAAAAAAGCTTGCAAGAAATAAAAATTAGTAAAAAATCGTATTCATTGTATTGATATAATCGCTTACCACTGTATGACAAAGAATTCTAAGTTTCTTACTGTTAAATAAAATGCAGAAATTTCCTTGTAATTTCTGCATCGTGACTGATTCTCAAACAATTGATAACTGAGGACAATGAATCTTTATTTATGAACTTTTGTTCTTTTTATCTTTCCCTAGAAACTTTCATATCACTTTTATCAATGTCAAAACTTCACACAATAATTAAAATTTTTAGAGAAAAGTCGAATGCAAAAACGCAATGAAAACAGAAGAGAAATATTTAACGGCTTTAAGATAAAAGTAGATAGTAACAAAGATTATGTAATATAGAATGAATTATAATAAATAAAATAAATTAAATACTAAAACATTTAAAAACACCTAAAATGTTGGATATTTGTAGACTGCAAAATAACGCTCTTGTATTTAACCGGAAAATAATTGTTAGATACTCTCTGCACACTCTCTGCAATTTTTCACACAGAGTGTGCAATATATCTAAATGTTGAATGTTATAGATATTTCTATTATCTAGCTATTGTAGTTTTGCAGTTGGGGTTCTGAAACATGGTCCTTGCCCTTGAAACCGATTTTTTCAAGAAAATGGGCGGTTTCTGCTATATTTAAACCGAACATTTCGGGAAATGTGCGGTTCAGAGGCGTATACAGGGGGGCGGCTATGGGGGCTAAGCCCCCCCCCCTGAACCAGTGAAATCTATTGATTTCAGGGGTTTTCAGGCCCCAACGGGTGCTGAGCCCCACCCTGGAAAGAGAAAAAAATTTAAGCCCCCCCCCTAGACAAATACATGTCTCGACTACAAAATGTGCAGAGGGTGGGTGGTGAGGAAAGTAAAGGTCTGAAAGTGTTAAGAATGCCCGACATAAGTTTAAAACAGATGATTTAATGAGAATCGATACCCATATTGTAAACTATGTGCATAGAATAAACACAAGGTAAGAGTGCACCCCGGACTAACCATTGTGAGAAGCATTCGGTTTCTTTTATTTGAGATTAAACGTGGTTTGGTCTACAATTTATCAATCTATAAACTTATGGATTTGTTTACTCTAAACTTTTTCATTCAAAATGTATATGCCGACAATAAGTATTTAAGAAAAAAAGGCTAACAAATTATGTATGATTGAAAGTTACAGCTGTCTGAAATATTGACAGAACCCTCAAATCCACGTGAGTGGGGATGGGGTTCTTTAAAAACTGAAGGTAGTTGGGGTAGTCAGGGTAGTTGCCATTCCATCTCTCCCCTATCTTGCCACAAATGTACATGTCGTAAGTCGATAATTCGGTAATTAGGCACGGGAATTCTATTTCTTGGGTCTAAAATGTAATTTGAGAACTCTGATCGGCGCGCTATTAGGTCATCTAATCTCATATTTTTCGAGTTAGGTAAATTTACAGGTTGTTGGGAACGAGAAATTCCTTTCCGATGTCAAAATAAATATTGGAGCAGTTTGAACGGTGCGCTTGTAGTCAAGAGTTAGGTTATGCTTACAACAGACTTTGCATGTTGTATTGAATGTCAATTTTAAGGTAATTGGGGCATGATTAGTCCATGTTCTTGGTTAACCTTATGGAAAGCGCCCTCTTGGAAAACTAGCAGCCTGCAGCTGCGTTCTACGACAATTCTAAGTTATGTTTAAACACTGTTTAAATTTTCCGGAAAATAGTAAGTTTTGTTCTCCCCCTTTTTCTTGCATTGAGGCGTTTATGTAATACATAACATGATAACATTTTGAAACTCCTTCCGTTTTGCAACTTTGGACATATTACCTAATATTTAATTATCAATGATTTCAACTCTTCTTGTAACCGCATTTTTTTCTCTCATTCTCTTCCCATCTTAAACTGTAATAAATGTCTTTTTTAACAGCATACACCTTTGGACACTACAGTAAGACAATACTGTAGTAATTGAAATAAATTAGTGTCTTTACAGTAGTTCCACAAAGAATTTTCCTTATAAACTTGGCTAAACCTATTAAACTAATGACAGTTTCATATCATATAAAGGTTATAATTTTGGCTCAAACTTAAAATTTAAAATTTTTAATCATGGATCCAGCTAGAGTATGGTTTTTTTTAAATCTTTGGGTCAGTCATTAATTGACAAATATGGAAAGATCCAGCCTAGAGAATTTTAGCATGTATGTACATTGTAAAATGTACACTGTGCATACAGATCCACTGCTTCTAAAATTTGAAATTCTAAGAGATATGAAAAGATTTAATTCCACTAAATTCAATTTAAAAATTTAAATAAATGAATTGAAAACTTACATTTTCCAAAAATAAAATGATTTCAGCATAAGTAGAACCAAAAAGGACAATATATAAATTAGAATTAGCTAGTGAAGAGTTAAATCTGGAATGTTAAATACTTAGGGTCACTTACAAGTTCAAGTTTCAAAGCTATTTTGGAAAAAGGTTTTTTCTTAGATTATGGCTTTTTTTTATGCCTCAATAAGAATTGTTTTTCTTGTTAGATCTTGATTTCTACGCTCTTTTCTTTTATTCTAATCTTGTTTTTTAGACCAAAACTTATTTTTGTGCTTAATAATTTAGTTAGCCATCAAAATACTCAATTGAATGAGGAAACTACAAATAAAGCTTCAAATCGTCAAATTTCCGAGTTTTGGCTTTGTACTACTGTATGCCGAGTCCATTAGCACCATGATCCAATCAGGTTCAGTTATGTGTTTGTTGTCTATTCTGAGCTGAAAACTTTAGAATGAAATATCCTTAATCCCGATCTGTTAATTAATCTGGAGATTAATAACAAGAGGAGAACAAGCATTATTTAATCTCGATATTCAGAAAAAGAGTTGATTAAGTATTGATCTCGATATCCACCATTCTAAAGTTCCCAGCTCTGAACCAATAGAAATAGTATGGCGGTAACATCTATCTATCTATCTCATTGTCCAATCAGAGTTATGAATCCTTCAATCGATGCTTTCATTAAATGGAAAATATAGTGTTTGCAGCCGAATCCTTTGTGAATAACCTTGTCTATACAATAACCTTTACCATCTCTGGGTTCGTTGTATGCAAAGGGTAATCCAATTTATCCAACTTAGAATCCTACAATGGATTCTGTTAGATTTAATTCAAGACTAAATTCGTTTATAAAACAACTTTTTAACTTTCTCCACAACATGAATGTAACCGGTATTTGAAGGTTCTAAAACTGTACAAATAAGATTTTTAAAGACTTCTCTAATGCATAACAAAATGTAGAAAAAATTTGAAATGAAAATCAAGAAAAACAAAGAAAACATTTATTTCTCCAGGGACAGAATTTAATGAACACGTAAGATAGGTCGATGTACTAATTAACGCGCGCCAGTTCGAAGCTTTTACAATTACAATGACATAAACAAATAAAACATTTCTCACATGTTTAAATGTTTAAAAAGTTGTTTTCTTCTATTTTTTATACATACTTCAAAAATAGACAAAAATAGCCTAACTGCGGCACTGAAAAAGAAAAATGTTGTGTTTCTTTGATCGATCACAAATAATGAAATCATTTAGCCTTGAGAATTGGTGAATATAATATAATGGCGTACACAGAAACCTCCTCAAAATTATGTACGCCCTCTATGATCTAAGCTGACTGAAAAATAGCAACCACCAAAGAAATTGCAACAGCTATGGAGAGGAGTGTAAATCCTAACAGGACTATTTTCCTTATAGCAGACCCAGGTGCGTCCTCATCTGAAAAAAAATTGAAAATTAGAAAAAGAACAAATAAAGATTTATAAATAAGTCAGTCTAATTTTCATCATGTTTATTATTTCAATGTTATCTATAACGAGATAATTTAACGTGCTTTTGAAATTAAATATTTCATAAATAGTATTGGACGTGGACCTACGTAAAAAAAGTTTAAATAAGACATTCAAAAAGGCTGCACCCGACCAATAAAGGAGGAAGTGACAGCAATTATCAAAGATGTCAAAATTTAGAATTCCCAAAAACCTGGGCATTTGGGAAATTTCAATCAAGGCAGTCAAAAATCCCATGCATTTGAGAAATTTCTAAATTCTTAAAAATAAACCAGATTCCAACAGAATCTGAGGTCAGGGTTAGTTGATTTTTAAAAGACTCCACAAGAATCTGATTATTTGATATGTTATAAATATTTATAAAACTATTATTTCAGTTTGCAGTTTTATAGAGTTTTTAGACAGAATTTTTCTCTTTAATAGAGTTGTAGATAATTCTTTAAATTGTTTGTGTGTGTGTGTGTGATGTCTTGATGCAATGGTTATTTCTAAAACTATCAAGCTTTTTAACAAAGCAGAAATAATAAAGTTAATTTTGATTATATTTTCCTTTTAATGAATAACTTTTTTTGAAATATCCTATTTTTGTTAGAATATCCGGGAACCAATTTAAGCACAGTACTATAATATACAACTGATTTAACAGTATTAAGATCCTGTTTTAGCTATATGGATAGCGTAACTGGTAAAGCTCTTTATATGCAATACATTAATTGGAAACTTTATAAATACCTATAATTTCCTCGCGTTCATTCTTATTAAAACAACTTTGTATTGTTAGAATAATCTGAGTGGCACCATATCCCACAACGTAAACAATGAGAGGAACTGCAAAACCTAAAAAATATGCTGATAGGAACTGTTGATTAACTCATGAAGTTCAATATAAGACATTATAAGTAAACTACAATAAAACTAGTTTTGTTGTGCTTTTACCTTGGAATGTCAAACTAAGGTCGTCTAAATGTTGTGCTTGAAACAATGTAGTCATACCTATAGAATATTGATGCATTATACCATGTTGGTTGTATTGAGTTGTCTCAAAATAACCGTCCTATTCTACTATTATACCATGTTGGTTGTATTGAATTGTCTCAAAAGTATGTAAATAAGTTAATGCTGTCCCACTAAACATGAGAATTTATTTATTAGGGGATAAATAAACATCTTCCAGCATTAATTCAAGAGCCCAATGTTCTTGATAATTCTTTAACAAAAGAGTTGTTAATTCTCTGGTATTAGCTTCACTTTACTTCTCTAGATTGTATTTGTACTTAATCAGCAAGTTTGGGACAGAAAAAATTTTAAAAATTTTAATTAACACACTTTTAATAAAAAATATGATTTTTACGTTAAAAATTAATATAAAATTCGACAAACATTCAACAAAAATACGTTGATTGAAATCATTTTATAATTTCGCATTGTAATCACTTATTTTTCAATAGTAATGCTAACTTTTTAATAAACTTTCCTCCCTACAACAGAGTCCGTAAATCAATACAACTCACATCCTAGAAAACCAAGGAAATACATCGACAGGATTTCGTTGTACAGTGGATTTTGAACACAAATAAAGAGGAAGTTGATATTTCATAAAAATTATATGTTTGTTTTATATCGAAAAGAAATTCTTTATTGCATCGACAAGGCTGCAGTGTCAATGGATTTGTAAACACTTTTAGTCTCAATGCTTCTTCCTCTTTTCTATTTCTTGGTCTGCTTATACGGTGGAGTACAAACATGGTACAAATGTCAAATAAAAATGAGATTAATTTTTAAACCTAATTTTAGAAATAAATTATAAAAAATACCCCTAGTCCTGATATTTCCAAAATGTGGTCTGCCTTTATTGTCCTTTCATTATTACCCGAGATATTTAAAGAATTTTGTTCTGATTTCGGCAGTTTTAGTTTTATTTATCAAAATTGAAATCTGAACAAAATTCTAAATATTTCTGGTAATATTAAACAGACCAAGAATGTAATGCAAGGAAAGTTAATTGCGGTCGTGTATACTCTGCGTACATATTGAGACCAGTTCTCTTTGGGCGGAATTTGTAAACAAAAATAGAAGCATCAGTGTTCGTTTAGTATCCAAGGAGGTTAACAGCATTAAATTTTGACAATTTTGATAATTCACATAATAGTTTCCTATGACCAGAATATTTCATCGATTCTTTATGTGAAAGATGGATCCCATTTCAGGCTTCGACATCCGTCTTGTGTTTACATTACCGCCCAGAGACAGTACACTGCAGTACAAAAGATGTGTACACTTCTGAAATAACTTTCCTTGCCTTACAATCCTTGAAACAGACCATATTTTGGAAATGTCGGGATTAGGAGATATTGTGGTTATTGTTTCAAGAATCATACATGTTTAGGTAGGTTGACGACTGAATGTCACACATAAATTCCAAGATCAAAGACGACTTTTAAATCGTCTTGCTATTGATAATGTAATGTTTCGTGGGACACCCTGTAGCTAAGTAATTTAAAAGAAGAAATCTCCATTATAACTTTTAGATAAATAAACTTGGCTTTAACGTTTTTAAAATAAAAAAGAATTAATGATGCTCCTAAAATTAAAATGATGTGCAAGATATTTACTGAGGGCAAAGGCAGCTGCTCCAAACATTGAGTGAAACACAAAGAATGTCATTCTTTTGCAGCTCTTCCCTGGTGCAGGTCTTAACAGAAAAATTTCATAGCATTTCGATTTTTAAAATTCAGATGTAATAATGTGTTAAGAAGCCTATGTACCTAAAGGCTGCCATTACTGGTTGAATCAAAGAAAGAATGACGACTACTAACCCTAGGGCTGGATGAGGGTTTTTTCTAAACAAAAGGAATATTCATATAAGTACATCTTATAACTATTAAATTATAAAATATAAAACCAAGACTGATAAAAAAATTGTACAATTTATGCAATATATACACAAACTTCTCTGCTAACTTTTAACATGTTTTTTTTCATAAAAACCCCTTGACAATTACATTTCAAATATTCAAAAATGTTTGGGAAACTTGATAGACTTTTCATACTCAAGAAAAGAAAAAATGGAAAAGAATGAATTTGTATAATGCATAAAGATAAGTGAGTTTAAATTGAGATTTATTTTAGCACAGAAGAAGGTTTGAATTTAGCCAGAATGCACAATGCACATTGCACAGTGCACATCTCTAGCTTTCTAACTAATCTCTACTTTAAGAGCAGACTAATTAAGTAAAAAGCAAAGGGAAATTTCGCAAAAATAGTTCAAATTAAATTTCCAAAACTTCTCCCACTAAACTTCAGAGGTACAGCCAACTAATATGTCCTGGAATCAAATGCCCCCTCCCCCACTTGTAATACAGGGTTGCCTACAAAGAATGAGACTTGAATGACGACCTGAAAATCTGTTTAATGACGACCTGAAAATCTGTTTAATGACGACCTGAAAATCTGTTTAATGACGACCTGAAAATCTTTTTAATGACGACCTGACAATCTGTTTAATGACGACCTGAAAATCTGTTTAATGACGACCTGAAAATCTGTTGGCCCCTATTTGAGGGTTGAATTTGGTCTTTAAATGTCTTTAAAACCGTCTTCTTAAAAATAGACTGAAAAATGAACCGTCAGTGGTCTCTGAAGTCTCATCCTTTGTAGGTAACACTGTACCTTGATGCTAAATATATCGTTTTATTTTACCTAATTTCCTCTGCCGTATAATGCCATCCTCCTTCATACACCATGATGAGTATTAGTCCAATAATAGTAAACAGAACAACAAGTGTCATAAGTGTTCTGTGTAACTGAAACCAAACATCAGCTCCAAACACTTTGGAGCCCTGAAATATGTGATACGGAGTACATCAATACTAGTTATGAGTTTTAGAAATTAGCTTCTAAAAAGTTTGACCATCTAATTTAAAATACACGTAAAAATTAAATTTTAAAGTTTGTTTAAAGGGAGTGTTCGCGAAAAATTTAAAGGGGGTATTGGCTAAATCGCTTTTGATCGCTACTAATCTTACTTCTATCTGTTGCGTCTATAAGGAGAAAATTGTTGAAAACTATTTATAGTGAATTTATACGTCCATACAAGTTCAGAAAGTTGAAATATAAGACTAGGATAGTAAAAAATCAATTTAATTTCAAAAACATAATTAAGATATAACAACTTATAGTCATTGATTTTTTTCGACGCATTCGTATATAGTTTACATTTTATAATGTTTTTCATTCGTTTTGTATACGCATGCACTTAACACGTCGAAACAGTTGGCCGCAAGATGGCTCTGCTCTCGATGCTTTGGATTATATTACACGTGGCAGAGACACCTGACACGCTTGCATAATATGTTTATAAAACAAATAACAAATATCATGAAATATTAAATATATACGAACGCGTCGAAAAATAATCAATGAATATAGAATGATCTGTTTGAAATTAAATTGATATTTTAGGATCCGAGTTGTATAAATGTGCATCGGCACTTTTTCTTTTTGAAAGAAGAAAAGACCAAGTATTTGTTCATTGAAGGATAATACTAATTATAAGGATTCTTACACCTTTTATCTTAATACTGTCGTTAAGTAATAAATTTATACCTTCCAGGTTTGTTTGAAGTGTTTAGCAATGATTTTTCCAATTCCTGCGCACCCCACCCAGGCAACTACCATAAAAAGACCATGGAGCTGTATCATTATCTTAGATTCACTATACACCCCACCAACTGTGTTCAAGGATACAGGGGACGCTGTTGATGCTTTAAACTAAAAATGCATAATTGTTATTTACAAGAAAAAATGTAAAAACATTGTTTGCAATGAAATATAATTAGTTATGAAAACTTTAAAGATACTCTAACCTGAGTATGATATGACATCTCCCCATCACCCTTTGCTAACAGTAGATAAAAACTAGTTGTAGATAGGTCCATAGTTAGACTTGCTGAACTGGCAGCTAACTTTAACCCACTTAAAGATACACTTATTCAGAATCATGCTAAAGGTTAAAAATATTGTAATAGATTTTAAAGTTACAAAATTCTCTCTGATGGTTGATTTGATTTATCTAGATTTTGATATCATCTCTTAAAGTAGTTGATTTAGTATAGTGTATGAGAAAGCTATAATCCGTAAGAGCTATGTTTACATTTTGTTTGTTTATGTTTTGACTGCATAAGGTTGTACTTAGTAAAACAAGAAAATTACAGTATACAAACAGAGTAAACTTGTCCGTATTCACTGTTCATCTTGCAGAGCCATTATAGACATATCTTTACAATCATTTACCGATTTTATAAAATAAACTCTAGCAAACATACTAATATTATGGCTTTTGAAATCAGGTTTTACAATGCTAATTCTTAACCGAGACGATCTCGAATTCGACACTGAATTCCTATGTTTATTGGGACACCCTGTATCAAAATCTAAAATGTAATACCTTTGAAATTTGCAGTACATTTCCCCGTTCACTGACGATTTACTAATCAGAGAAGGAGCGTTGTCAGTAATAAGGTTCGGCGTTACTCTTCCTGTTGCAACATACTCTTTTACTCCAGCCTAAAGGGAAACAGTTCTTGCCATTACATACAATGTGAAGCTGTTGGAAACTAAAGACAAAATAAACGGTAATATAGTACAGCACATTGTTTGTCCTTTTTTGCCTTTTCTTACTTTGAAAGTGCAATATATAAAATGAAGACAAGGGTACAAAGTGAAACCCATAAAACGTGCAATGACCTTCGTCTTCGTTATTTCTTTTTAACTGCATAAGATAAATTTCAAGTTGTCTTCACTGTATTGATATATAACTAGAGCTGGGCGTCATTTTTGAGGAATGATGATTATTTCACAAGAACAAACGGAACTATCAAGAACGATTCCATCGTTCTGAAAAAAGAACAGAACACATAGAACGCGTTCTGAAAAATATTGGAACGGAACAGAGAAGAACGATATGGAACGGAACGGATATTAGCCAAAGACCATCTACAATCAGGAACGCATTCTTATTATCAAGAATGCGTTCTAAGTCAGGTACACATTTTAAATCAGGAATGTCTCTTAAATCATCTATAAATAATTAAAAGACTCTAAATTAGCCCCCCCCCCTTTCCTAGCCTCCCTCTCCCGTGAGGAAGAGGAGATTTAGGCTGAAAGAAATTGTTTTCTATGATTTATTTATATATCTTTTTAATATTATTGAAATATTGATTATGTAAATTAATTATTTCTTTTAAATCTACTAATTGTACACCCATTTTTTAAGATTAACCTGGATCCAGGCACTTACACAGTACAGCCATCATACATTTTATGGACTTTATGACCCCGCCCAGACAGAACGGGGGATGGAAACGTTCTTGACTAAGAACAAAACGGGGAGATGGAACCATTCTTTGACTAAGAACACCAAGAACTGAATGGAACAGGATGATTGTTCTTAGACTAAGAACGGAATGGAATGGAATAGGATAATTGGGGAAAAAAGAAACAAGAACAGAACGATCTAGCTGAAGGCCCTTGTTCTAGAACGGAATAGAACAATTTCAAAAAAGTCTGAACGTGCCCAGCCCTATATATAACCACAGATGACGATAACCACTTCATTGTTTCTTAATTGCCACTATATACTCGCTGCATAATGTAGAATGTCCACTATTTTCCGGATCAACTTGGATCCGTACTGGCTCCAGAGAACCTTTTCTGACGCTGTGGAGAATGATAGCCCATCAAAAAACTAAAAAATAAGGCCGGAACCTTTTTGGTCCGAATTAGGAATATATCTACTTCATAGATGGAAACACAAACTAGGTGAGACATGCTGAAAAGTTTACCTGATGATTATTTTGAATTAATTCTATATGGAATTAAAGTCCCATAAACTTTTTTTGGTATGTCCTATGTGGCTCTCTGTAGAAGATGTACTTGAGTCAAACTCAGGAACGGAACTTTAACTGAGCTCCAAGTCATGGGTTCAAGAAAGATCTGGACAGGAAACCCGATCCTAAGGGGCTAGATGGATTTCAAGCCAGGGTACAAGAAGATATACAGGGAAACCAAGCCTGTGGATCTGAGGAAACTGTAGTAACAGTATATACAACTCTTTGGTAATTTATTTCTTTTATTTGTTTGACTTTCAATAAAAATATTTTAACTACTTTGTTCTTTTATTGGCGTGATACTTGAAGACGGTATCAACCTAAGACTTACAAACGTCGGACAGTACAAAAGTCGAACCAGGACAAACGTCGGACTGGACAAACGTCGGACAGTACAAACGTCGGACAGTACAAACGTCGGACAGTACAAACGTCGGACAGTACAAACGTCGGACAGTACAAACGTCGGACCAGTACAAACGTTATTTGAATTTTAAGATTTTATTTTATTTAAAAGTTATTTCCTTTTATCGACTGATCTAATTAAAATCTACCCAAAGGAACCGAGTTCTTGCCACCAACTCAAATATTCTCATTCCTTTGCAACCTGGTAATGGTATTTACATTTAATACTTTCAAACTTAAACTATACGATCTTACAGATATAAAATATTTAAGGTTATATTACGTCGGGTTGCAAAGATATAGGCATTTTGAAGCATCAGAGTTTGTGACAATTGAACTCGAATCCTTTTTGGTCTGTTGTTATGTACGGTGCTACCTACAAAAGATGAGACTTTATTCAGTGGTCTTTGATTTTTATCACAATAAGTTAGGGATTTTTAATTCATTTCTTATAGCAATGGTTTTTCTTTCAAACTCAACCAAAGTCCGACGTTTTTCCTTATAACTGTACCCGTCCGACGTTTGTACTGGTCCGACGTTTGTATTTGTCCGACGTTGGTACCAGTCCGACGTTTGTGCCATCCGACGTTTATACCAGTCCGACGTTTGTATGCCCGACGTTTGTAAGTCCGACGTTTGTACTGTCCGACCTTTGTAACGTTCGACGTTTTTGGGTCTGACGTTTGACTAGAATATTGATACTTTTGGGTGGTTCTTTTTATATTTAAGACTTAACAATAGCTTAATTTTTTTTGCTTAATATAGAGTCGGTATTGTTAAGTTATACTGTTCGTTTACCTGCGAACAAACAAACATGATGTCCTCTCCCATTTTTGAATCTTTGGACACACCAATTGCAGTGTATCCTGTTCCCTTGCGGTAGCTTTCCCATTCCATCTACAATAAAGTACTTGGAAGATACTTTTTATGAAATAAATTAGTGGAATTAATTGACATAATTAACGTTGATTTTCCCATAGACACATTTATAAAGCTAAACTGTTGGAAGGATTTTTAGGACATTTTTCTGTATTCTTTTGCTATACGAATTTTTTCCATATACATAATTACTAATTAATTTAATTAATTAATTTCTAGCTGTCCTAACCGCTGCGCTCATTCCTTCTTTTTAGCAGAAGGCTTGAACATCTTATAGCAAAATGATCTTTTTAGGTAAAAATTGGAAAAATTCGGTAACAAAAATGACGTTAGCAAAGCTGGAAGCGTTTTTTCTAGAAACATTATAGCCTTGATACTAATTAGGGTACATTATGAACATAAATATAAAATTTAAAAAATATATATTTTTTAGAAAGAAAACCTACTTTATCTCCAACTCTTTTCCATGTGTACATGTAGTCACAATTATTTGTCTTCTCACACCCTGAAGGAGAACCAAAACAACTTTTATCCTAAATAGTTTCATTGAAATTTGAAATGTAGCAATATATTTTCTCCAAATGTACAATTTAGGATGCCTAAAAGATCTAGACTTTCATTTATAAATTATAATTCAAACAATTTAAACAAGAAGATTTATTTATAAAAAAAGATTTTCTTCTTCAAATCTCATTTTTTTTTTAATTCCACGGCAACACCGGGCACTTTAGCTATGCTTGATTTTACATTCTAAGTCATACAGATCTTATACCATGTCTTAAATGAAAGTAAACATCCGCTAAAATATTTTTTTCTTATTCGGGTCACCCTTAACAAAACTTTCGGTTTGTGTTGCAGTAATCTGCAGTTCAATGAGTTAAAAAAAGTTAGCGTAAAAGTTGTGCGTTAAATGAACTGCTTCTTTTTATAAATATTACATAGAAAAAAATGTTGATATGACATACCTGTCCGCAACCCTGATAAACAGAAGATTGCGTGGAACCTAAAAAAATATCTAGTTATCAGAAATCATCTGCAAACAAATCAAAATTAAGATATTACTGTTATTAATAGAAGAATATAAAAACTTAAAGGAGTGTTATGAAATTTGTCCAACTGATCATGATTTATAGGAAATGTTCGAAAAAGTGAAAGTGGCTAAACCACAATTGAATTAGGAATCAATTTCGATTGGTTTTAAATTTAATGACGGTATAATTAAATGAGTAAATTGTAAAAAACGTTGGTTTCCTTAAGCGGAGAAGTCCAATGAACCTATGAAATTGAAATAGCGTATATCATGGTTTCAATGCAGTGTTGTTGACCCTAAACAACAAAAACCCATTGTAAACTCCGTGTAAAGTCGTCTTCAACTTAGATCCCCTCTCGGAGACACAAAGAAAAACCAAACCAAATATTTTTAACCTCCTTTTCCGTTGTTCTCCGTATCGGAGTATAAACAACCTAAACCGTTGTGAATCCATTTTCAAAAGCTAAACAAAGAATATTTTCATATAAAGAATTAGTGACTTTCGTTAATAATTAATTGTCATTTATTTCAGAAGTTTAAAAACGTCTCAGAAGTTTAAAAACGTCTTAGTACTGTCCGACTATTTAACCCCTTTCTTTTCTACTAATAGATCGTAAGAATTTTTTCATTATAAACATTCATTATGACAGTTTATATGTTATTATTTATGTAATTTTTTCAGGAAATTAAGAGAAATCTTCATTATCGATTTTGATCCAGGGGGGTTATTCTGTTGTGTGTCTGTTCAACTTGAGAATCTTGTTTCTATCTGACAACAAGTGTGTATGCATTTTCAGCAGTTATCACATATCAACTATTGGTGGAGGGATCGAGGATGTCTATGAGTCTATGAGTCTATGAGTCTCACGAAATGACCTCTGGAGCCTCCTGATACGCAGAACGACCTCCAAGCCCCACAAAACCGTCTCCGCGCCTCTCGCTATTTCTCTAAGCCTCCACCATTCTGTCTCCACACCCCACCTTTTTGTAACTTTTTATCCACCAAAAACCTTTTATTTAAAACAATCTGAACAATCAACATGATAAAGTGGTTTTTAATAATGCATAAACAGTTTATATTAAAAAGTCTATTTTAATTGAGACTAAGGCTTCTATTTTTGTTTTCAACATTTCACTTGTAAAGAACTACTGCAGTTTTATACAAAGATAGACACATTTTATATAATTCTACAGGTGTATCATGTACGAATCAAATTATATGATCACCAAATCACAAAACACAATAGTTTTTGTGAAATACTTGAATTTGTGCTTGTATCTTATGCTTTGTAAAAACTTTTCACGAGAAAGCAAGTTATGATCAATTAAATGCATTAATATTTGACATTTGTGGATTAAACGATTCTTGAAACTATTGTAGATTCTATAGATTCTTCAATGAAGAAATATATTTTGATTTTTGGTTTGTTTACGCTTCTGCATGTTGTTTAACAAGGCTCATTGCGGCTCTACACCCATTCCCTTGTGAAGCAGAAGGTTAAAAAACGCTGAACCAATTTCATGGCAAGAGTTGGGCATGTCAAAAATATTTTCATAATTACCAAGAGAATGGAACGGTACGGAGAAAAAACATGAACAGTGTATGTGACAAAAAAGTAAATTGAACGTACTACTAACTGTTTAATATATTATGACTATTTCTCATATAACATTTTTTTTTCCAAATCATAAAAATAATTTCAAATAGTTTGCTTACAAACATTAAGAGAAATGTAGCATTTCTTTAAGATTTGTCAAGTATGGTTCTACTATAGATTTTTCTATCAATGTATCAACTGCACAAAATCGATAGAATGTATAAGTTCTATTTTCCCATGAATCTCATTATTGAAATAGATCTAATGTTGACATTTTACTAATTCAATAAACTTTCTTTTATTTTTTCGATAAAAAATTATATCAGATACTGAATTCAGGGGAAAATAGTTTCAAAACTAACACTTGGCCCGTTTATATTACTGAATGTTAGAAATGGGCCAAGTCTGTAAAGTTATCTTTCCCAAGAGTATATGTCTTTAAATCCAAGCGGAGTTGAACAAAAATTCACCATACATTTATAAGAAAAATGACTAAAACTGTAAATTAAAACAAAAAATGTCAATTTTAAACTAATAATAAGGTGTTAGAATTAGTTGTTATGATACTTGATTTAATTTTCGTACATATCCTTATTTTTAAACAATTATTAGACAAAGCTTGAAAGGGAACTATTGTGAATCGAACATGCCACCACATTGAAGGTCAATTTAATTTTTTATAATTTCAATATTGTTTTTGACAACTTTTGCGCCATATCTTTACAATTTAGAAATTATAAGTAATTTAGAAAGCAAAAATGTTAAGTGTATTTTACAAAGTAATTGTTGAAATAGCTCATTTTAAAAATTATTTTCATATCAAAAGATTCTTTTGAAAAGAAAGTTAAATCTTACTATGATGCTTAATTAAAGGAATTGAGTTTTTGTCACAAACTTAAATGTTTAAATCCCTATATCTTTGGAACCTGATGGAGTAAACCTTTGATATTTCAAACTAAGATTATTTGATCTAACAGTATACTTAGTTTGAAATAAATAAGGTTTAAGACATTGGGTTGCAAAGATATAGGGATTGGAAAATCAGAGTTTGTGGCAAAGACTCAATTCCTTAAGTTGTACTTTTAGAATCCTGAATCGGTGGTTTTTTAAGTACAAGACTGTAGTGTAAATAAGTTCCCAAATTAAAGGATGTAAATTGAAACTGAAAGGATGTTTAAAAAACCAAACCCTTTTTACCCTTAATCCTCTGAAAGGCTAAAATTAATATCACAAAGTCTCTAGAATGTCAGTATTACATGGTTAAGAAATTGACGAATTTAGTCAATCCTAAGCTAAATGATAGCTCCTTTATCTCTTTTAGATGGACTATCCTTTATGCAAGATTGATTTTTCTCGCTACACTGCAGTTTAGTTTGACAGAGGTTTTCATATTTCTTCCTGACAACCTTATTCTTTAAGTTGCCCCAATTATTCTCAATTGTAGGCCCGACATTGTAAAACTTCATGGACATTGCCAGGTCAGCATAAGAGGCTGGAAGCGGGAGCTGTTGCAGGATCGACCTTGCCAGCAAACTAGCCCCTCAAAGACCAGGTTAGAGTTATTTTACACCGGAAAAAGCTTAAGGCATAGTAAAAAGTAATGCATATTTCTTCTTGTAATAAAATATGGTCCTATCAGCTTAGCCTTTGACAGCTGGTCTCGTTGTTGTGTTAAAGGATAAGTGAAGGAACTGCTTCTACATTGGCCTGCATTGGTGTTTGGTCAAATTAACTCCAACCTGAACTTAGTATCTGGTAATTAACTAAGCTTTTCAGAGTCACAGAGTAATATTGAATACATCTGACAAATTTTCGTCATTTTTAAGTTAGTTCTGGACCTCCCTGCATGCTTTTTAAATGTTTTTTTTCAGGAGGCTGATCAGTTTCATTTCAAGAGATAAAGATTAAAGAACCGTTATTCCGTGCAAAATTGACAAAATTAGATGATAACCATGTAGTCCGAAATTCTCGTGACGTTGTGATATGAATTTCATCATGATCTGATAATAAGTAAGCCGTTTAGAGAACAAAATGTAGTATTTAAAGGGACAGTAAAGGAAAAATGAAAGGGGGTATAGGCTGAAAGCTAATCACTTTAGCTTTTCATCGAGACCCTTGAGACGCCTATCTGAAGTTCCTAACTCGAGAGTTGATATAAAGCTGTTTCAAACTTGTACGAAAATGCATATATATACAATTTCGTATAGAAATAGTAGGTTTAAACAGACCATGCTCAGAAAAACAGCAACCAATCTGAAAACGATGATATCCCAGAGAAAGCTAATTGTAATTTAGGTTTACTTTTATATTTGTTGTTTCTATTTTCAATAGATTTCATTCATAATATTATTTTTACGTCCGTATTACTTGACCAGAAATTCCACCAATGGCAGTGCAGTAAAGTGGTACGTGATACAGGCGGAGACACGTGACCAGTATACTGTTCTGTCATTGGTGATAGTTCTGGTCACGTGATTTAAGTTTCAGATTTTCAAAATTTTACATATATGAATTTTCGTATAATTATAACACAGTTTTATATCAATTTCTCGAGACAGGAACATCAGATAAAACTTTCATGGGTCGCGATCAAGAGCTAAAGTGATTAGCTTTCAGCCTATACCCCCTTCAATTTTTCCTTTACTGTCCCTTTAAGTTTGTTTTGTTTGCAACACCCTTTATATTGATATTTATACATATTTTGTCTTCTCAAATTTGAAATTTTGTGGATTATTAAGTCATGCCATCTAATAAGTGTCCTGTTGAATATTCCTGAACATTACTTGATAGCCAATAGATTGTATAAAAAAATTGTACACATTAAATCAAGAAAATATGTTTGGTAATTTCTTTATAACTTTTGTTACTTGTTTAGTAAAAAAGGTAGGGACAGACAATCAGAAAGATATTAGGGACATAAATTACAATAAGAAATTCCAGTGCAATTTTTGAATAATATGCTAGTGCCCCAAAATAACGCCTTTCTAAAATCTTTGCAACCTAAACTGTAGTTTAACTGTCATACAGAAAATAGCTTTTGAGATTCAAATAGTTTAGGAAGGCTTTTCCGCAAAAAAACTTGTTATATACGACTCGGATCGTAAAAAAATTAACTTAATTTCAAACAAATCATTCAGATATTACAATCTATAGTCATCGACTATTTTTGTCACATTTGTATATATAGTTAGTTTTTCATAATATATTTTACTTCTTTTATAAAAATGCACTTAAAACAACGATTTTTTTCCGCCACGTGGAATCATTGAGAGCATCGAGAGCAGAGACACCTGGCGGACAAAGTAATCGGCATTTTAAGTGCAATGTATATAAAACAAATACAAAATATTATGAAATATCAACTATATGCAATGCATCGGAAAATAATCGATGACTAAAGGTTGTAATAGCTAAATGATATTACTCATGGATTGCAATTTTCTCAATTTGGGTGGATGCTACGTTATTCGGTATGAGTCGTTTTTAACAATTTTCTCCTTTTAGACGCAACAGATAGAAGTAAGATTAGTAGCGATCAAACGCGCTTATTTTTCGCCGTATGCATATACCCCCTTTCATTTTTCGCGAACACTCCCTTTAAATACTAGCGAAATTTACTAAACTTAGCAAAAAAGATACCAAGCAAAATGTACAAGATAATATACATCAATTTACGTGAGAAAAATGTCTGTCCCTTATAAATGGTTTTGACCATATGTTATAGTAGATGTGTAATTCAAACAAACCTGGAGAAATTAGAAAACACGCCGTTATGAGAACTTTTAATTTAGAATCCATTTTCTAAACAGATTTTGTTGAAATTTTTCTCTGAAACAAAATATCTGAAAAGAGGAAAGGCACACCAGTCACCCACCTTTTTTTCGTCTGACCACAAATGACTTCAAACGACTGGTGAATCACCATTATTTCGTACGAGTACACCTTTTTTCGTCCGGCATTGTTTATATTTTTTCAAAAGTAATTTACATTATCATATTCAAAATTTGAGCCACGTCATGTTGTTTTTGAAGGTTTAAATATTATATCTTGTTTGTTTTTAAAGAGATCTTATCAAGATACAATAGGCATAAAATCGTTCATTGCAATTTGTAATTGTAGATTCTAAAAATCCCAGCGACCTTCACCAAAAAGTTGCATTGCAGTTTTGGAGAAAAATAAGAAAACAACCGAAAAGTTTGTGTTCCGGATAAAAAATAGGTGTGGTCCGAACCAAAATAGGTAAGGCACACATATTTTTCGTTTTGTGCTAAATTGGGCTTAAATATCGTTCTATTTTGTGGTGCGGACGAAAAAATAGTGCGGTGTGCCTTCACCCGCTCAATCTGGAGTTATTGTACAGTGAAACCCTTAATGAAGAATACATCGAAAGAATTTATCAAATGTCGTATTCTTCACTTTCTGATGCTGGAATGTTGCAGATATTTAAAGTTTTTAATTAAATGGTTATATGGAACTCTTTAAAACTGTTCCCGCATATTCATGGCTATTTATTTATTTTCGCAAATACTGAAATTTACGTAATATAGTATAAAACTCATTAAAAATTGTCAAGACGACATTTGATAAATTCTTCCGATGTATTCGTTATAAGGGTTTCACTGTACTAAAATGTAATCAAGTGAAAAAACGGGGTTTCCCCTGAGCGTTTTATTACTAAGTTTCCTGGAAATACCAGTCGTATTCTTTACATTTAATCGATACACATGGTTTATTCTTGACACAATATAAACATAATTTGTTATAAATTTGACAATGGACAATGAACATAACATCAATAAATGAATAGAGTTTTTTTAATGCTATTCCAGCGGTGGGNGAGGCTGTTCATAACTAACACACGCGACTCACTTTAGGCTCAAAGTGAAAGCCTTGAAAAAAAAGGAATCATATTGAATAATTTTTGCTAGGAAATTTTGAATACACTTTTGCACAGAAGAGAATTTGGACATTTTCAGTTTTCCAGGAATACAAATTTAGAAATAAAAATTTTTGCAAATATTTCCGCATTTTTGGATTTGCTGTGGTAAGAGCTTCTCAAAAATGTATAATTTATCATATTTCGCCCACTTTTGTTTTGCAAATTTTTGCTTAATAATGCCAAAAATATTTGAAACTTTGCGAAATTTCAATTTTTTTGGCAGATTATTAAAGTAGAGCCAAATGGCTTTCTAAAAGTGTATTAAATATTATTAAATATTATTTAATTATTTCTATCTCATTAAGGAAATAGAGGAAATCCCTGGGACCCAACCCCCCAGACTATTTTTGGGTAAACCAGACTTCAGCCTGAAATGGGTTAGATACATAGAGAATAATATATATAGAGAGGAATTAAAAAAATCTCTCGGTATGAATTTTTTCAGTCCCTTTCAGCCTGAAAGGGAGTTCAAAGTGTACAAATCATGTGAATGTTCACAAATTATATGCAGTAGAGTACATTAATAAAGTACGTTCCCTAGACTATCCATTTCAATTTCGAATTTTTAAACTGTTACTAAACTTTATAATGAATTAGGTGAATAAGAACATCATTTGATTTATATACCCAGAAATATCCTGTTCGAACCCAGGTAGTTAGCAGAAATATATATAATATATGTAATTATGATATTTAGGAATTATAAATGAATTACAAATTTCATAATCATATACTTTCTACACATTTTTGATTGAATGATAAATTGAAATTGTTGCAATATGATAAAATTTATATGCAAGAGTTTAATTATCATCATATTATCATCATATTATCATCATATTATCATCATATTATCATCATATTATCATCATATTATCATCGTATTATCATCATATTATCATCATATTATCATCATTTTATCATCATATTATCATCATATTACCATCATATTATCATCATATTATCATCATATTATCATCATATTCATCACTGCAAATGTATTTGATATAGTAAGACAAATTTTGGTACTTAAAAAGAGTTTTAGAGCATTGGTTTTTATCTTAAAGCAAAGAGGAGTATGTAAACTACTCCCATGCCTTTCCTTTTTGAATTTTTCCTTTTCAAAGACAATTATTAACAATTTTTTTTGGAGCTGCAGTCTTTTGCTGGGATTCCGCTGGGTTTGGACAGGGATCTGCTAATTTACGTCTGGGTTCAAACAGGATATTGCTGGGCTCATGGCCGTATCCCCCCCCCCTCCCTCGTGTACCCAGTTCACAGGCGTGTACTGAGAAATTGCCTATCCCCCCTAAAAAAAACTTTGCTGCAAATTAACCCATTAGGACTATCTCGTGTAACTAAAAAACGACCTTTACCATAAGTTGTATAGTGGTTAATTAGGGAGTGTCTCAGAAAATGTTCATTCAAATCGGAAACAAAGAAAAAGCCCAAAAACTCATTTAACAAAAAACTAAAATAAAATGTTTAAATTACTTCAAATTTGGTTGAGTCTTATCTAAATAGAATGCATGTAACTATCACAAAGTTGTTGACATATAGTCAGCTAAATAAAATGAAATAAAAAGCTATTTGGAACTTCATTGAATTTAAAACATGAAAAAAAAATATTCTTAAGAAAATTTAGATTTTTATTTTAAAAAGTATTTTTTAGAAAATTTCCTTTAAAATTTATTAGTTAAAAAATTAAAAAACATCTTTTTTGAAAAAATATTATTTTTAGGTTTTTTTAAAAAATCTTAGAAATATTTTCATTTTTCTGAACAATGCATCTTGGCATATTATTTCTGGTCTTTATTTTCATGTTTTGCAATTTTAGTAGTTTTAATGTCTGCTTATTTGTACCCAAAATCATGGTGAATGCCTAAAAATGGCAAATAGTTTGTTCCCATTTGCTGTGATTTATCTGTGAACTCGAAGCTAAATCCAACCTCAGGTGTGATTTTCATCAGCTGATATTTAGCTATGATTTAACTCCGACTTCAGATTTAACCTAAGCTTCGATCTTGCTATGATTTTGGACTAACTAATAGAAAATCATAGCGAGGAAGTCGCAGCTAAATTATAGCTAGAACCGGACTGTGAAATGGAACTGATAACTCCACATTGTTGAACTGTGAAAGGATAATGTGTTGAGAATATTACGGGGTAGACTGACAGGCTTTACCAAGGATCGTCTTTCATAAAGTTTGAATTTGTTGATAGACATTATCCCCGACAATAGTGTGTATAAAAAGGGTACACATGGAAGTAATAATGGAACAAGTAGTTACCTACCACATAAAACATGCTACAACAAAGTATTTACATTATATAAGTTATTTCCTTTCTAAAAACATCTAGTTACACTTAAATATTGCTTTGATGCCGTCCTCCTATTCCACAGTTTTCTGTACACAGCCCAACAACATAGTAATGAAAAATGGGTTCTACAGGGCAGACTTAATGACTTTTAACCAGGACCTCTAATTTACCAGAGTTTATGCTGCTTGGGGAATGCTTTTTGTAAATATCAACTTCTATGTAGCTTTTATGCAATTTTTATGTAACTCCACAATAGTTTGACAAATTGATCTTGAATTCACAAAATGCATAATTTTTTATACAAATTTGTTGACCAAAACCTTCAAACCCCCCCTTTCATGTAATGTCGTCTTTACCAACCCCTTCCTTGGAGAAGTTCAAACCAAAGCAATACTCTGGAAATTTCTCTGTACTCTGACAAAAGGAAAACATCAAATATTGAAACGTTTTATCTAAGTGAATAATGGAATCCACGAATAACTTTGCAATCCATAGTAATTCCACTTAAACATTTAGATTTATATTTTCAGAAGTATTAAATAATAATTGTTTGATGCAGAGAATTTGATTTCACAAGCTATCTAAGTTTCCCCATTATTTTGGTTCTTCCCGTAGTAGAATTTATTTTGTGTTTTGAAAAGAACTTAATGGTCGAGAAAGTATTTTTAAGCAAATCTATGAATTGTCTGATGTCTCCTAGTCATTCTTAAATCTATATTTATATTTTGTGTTAATCCGTCAATTGGGCTCGCGGATAAATCCCTCTATGAAAATGAGTCTTGTATTCTCAAAATTTAGACTTTTTGAATGAATTTTCACATATTTTTTGCTAAAATTTTGCGTTTGTTTATTTTTTTGCATAAATTATCTATTTTGTTTGCAAAATTTTTGCATTATTTTATCACAAAACTTTTGCATCATTTTATTGCAAAACTTTTGTATTATTTTTTATGCTAAATTTTCGAATTATTTTTTTCACAAAACTTTTGCATTATTTTTTTCTCGAAATTTTCGCATTTTTCCGCGAATTTTTTGCATTTACTATTTCGCAAAAATTTTAGCCTTTTTTGTGAGCAAACGTAATGCAAAAATGAAGTGAAATTTTTGCAAAAAAAATTTCTTTTATGCTGGAAACCCTACACTCAACCCACCCCAGATCCAAGGTATCCTAGTGCACTCCAGATACCACCCCTACTACGCTGTGTACGACATGAAGAAGTTCTTGAGATCCCTGCACAGCGGTGATATGGACTCCTACCTCAGGATTGAATGTGTGCCCTACAATTCCTTTTCCAACCCTCTGACCTCTGTCCCTACCTAGAACTTCTTCCGTGACCATGTAATTCCTAGGCAAAGAAGGATTTGTATCAAGTCTTGTGAGTGCTCCGGTAAAGACGGAACAAGTAAATACCTAGAAATGACTTGGGATCGCCTCAAAGACCGTTATCTCTTAAAATTCTACCATGATCTCCACCAATAATATTGTGGAATTCCCAGCGAAGCCAACCTCGACTGCACAATAATGCCTGCATGCATAATCTGTAAAACAAGGAATGCACAATTTGTGATACCGAAAAATGAAGATCT